TAGATCATATTATCATTTAATAAAAAACTTAAGAAGTTGAGGAATATCATATTATATAATGTAAAATCAGCTGTGATCTAAAATTAAATGCTATTAGTATTTCCAGCTATTTTTACCATTTTAATTGTCTTTATACAGCTATTTTTACCCTAATTATATCATCTTCAATTGCTTAAAACATATAATTTGTAGTATTCATATTACCATTAGATGATAATTATTAATAAACATAAAATACATTGAATTGTAATTATGCTATTTTTCCCCATTTTATAATTTGTGACTAAGTATAAATGAAAAAATTTAAACAAATTTTATAATTGCTTATTAAAGACATACATAAAATAAATCTTTATTAACATATGGATAAATTTTTAAAATCAACTATAGTTTAAATTTAATTAAACTAATTTGTGCCGATGGCACACGTTTGTTGTTATAAACATAAAATATAAACTAATATTATATTGTTATATAATATAATTTATTTTATTACTAATATACATTTATTCAATTATTTGCAAAATAAATCGTATTATTCAATTCAATATTAATATTATAAATTACATTGATTGGTTTAATTATTAACTTAATTTATATTATTGTTAATACTCTTAAAGTATAAGCTTTTATATTTATAAACAAATTATATAGCCTACAGTATAGCCTTTTCTATACTATTATTATTTTATTTTATTAGAAATTTAATAATATAAGATTATTATATAAATTAATGCATTAAGAAAAATGTATTAATCGCTAGAATATATATCAATAGTTAAATGAGTTATATATATATATATATATATATATAATATGAATAAAATAGTTGGTTTGGTTGCAATGTTAGTATAAATGTTATGATACGGTATGGTATGGTTACCCCTATTACGTGACGACATTTCCATTGTTTGCGATATTTGCCTTAAATTCATCGCTCACTTCAATAAAAGAAACATCTATTGAATGTACTTTCCATTTGTTGTCTATTTTGTGGCCAAACAGTACAACTAGTTTTGTCATATCTCAACATTTTACCTGTAATTTTTAAACAATGAATTTTAGCTCAATTATAAAACCATATATGATATATACAGTATATCTTTATACTGAAAACAATAATAAAATAAAATTAATTAATTTATATATAATGTATAATTTAATGTTATACAATAATGATACATTAATCAAATTATTGTGCATTATATTTACTATAAATTTCTACAGATTATTTTAATAATTTAAAACAGAATATAATATTAAATCACAGAAAAAGTCAGTTTTATAATATACTACTAATTTATAATATTTGTTAGAAACAGAAACTATTTACATTTTTTGAGTTGAAATTAGTGTTAGAAATGATAATTTATATTTAAATGTCAATATAATAATCTAAATAAGTTGGCAACTCTAAGCACAACCACACAACACCAGTGTTTCTTTTCAGACACTAAAACTGCAAATGCATTATTCAATGCAACGTTTTTTCATATTTTATCAAAAGTGACATAACTGTACAATTGATATAATATTATATTATATATACCGTATATACTAATATACTGTACTATAAAATACATAGTATGTTGTGTTATATATTTTATATATATTAGTTGTACTTAGTTTCTTATGTAACATTATTATAGACATCTATAGCCTTATAGTTTCTAAAGTCATGCAGTTATTGACAGATTACTGGATATTTTGTAACCTAAAGCCCAACGTTTGCATTATTTGCTTCACTTTTAGTATTAGTTTTGTTGTATAGTTTATACCGTTTAGAGGATTTAAGGACAGACTTTCATCGAAAACTCTGGTAATTAGAAATGAGTGACGAGTCTATAAAATAGTAGATAAAAATGATTACTAAACACAATACTACATATAAATTAAGAAATAGTTTTTTTACATTTGTTTTTAAAAATATAAAACAATTTTGTCAAATATACGGTATTATATGTACCTTTTATTTTTTTATTAAAAACTAGAAATTTAAAACCACTTTTAGTATATGACATTTTATCATTATTTATTTTATAAAATATTAATTTCAAATATTATTCAAATAGTTTCTTAATAATACATTTTATTAAATTTAATATTAATTTTTAAAAACTTTTACAAATTATACCAATATACTATAAACAAAATTCAATTTATAATTATATTTGTTTGTGTTTGAGACTTAAAAATTTTTCTATAGAAATAATTTTTAAGAATATTACAATTTTTTTCAATAATTTTTTATTTAAATAAATAATTCTCTCTAAATATATTTAAATATTTTTACAAATTTAAAATATGATATTATTATTTATTTAAAAGATATTTGAATTTATGAAAATGATTTTTATAGATAATGTCCACACGTTAGACAATGTATATAAACTCACTGATAATATAATTAGTAATTGAAATATCGCTGAAACAATAAAATAAATTACTTAGGGCTCACACCATCACTACATTACACAAAATATACAATATATACAATCCATACAATATATAACAAGATTTGTCGATTGGGTGATACCTTTGAGGCAAATACGATAAAAGTAGCAGAAATTTGTGTAGTGTTTGGTTAGCCAACAGTTTTATTCTTACAATTTATTGTCCAAACCGTTAACCGTTCGGACCTTTTTTGGTCACAAGTGTTTGACTCAACAAATGTATAAATTTATTGACTATTCAATTGGTTCACTACTTGTGATTCTCGTATTTACTTAACTCTTCATTCAATTTCTGTTCAATCTTTATATATATATTGGCTTTTGTACTATAAATTCAATTTATATAGTGATCAACGTCTATACCAATAGCTTTGTCAATGTTTTTAAAGTGTTGTACCAAATGATCAAAGCATACATTGTTGTCATTTGAGAAATTGATGTCTAATAAAACAAAAGTATTTTGAAAAACAACATCTGTTGTTAAAAAATCAATTAACCTTTAATTTAGTGACAGTTGTGACAACTGTAAGGTCGTTGACAGCACTCATCTTTTGTAAGAAAAGTCAAGAATTTATAACTCGTATCACATCTTCATCTATGCCTAACATCTATATCTCTATTATTTTTATTTTACATCTTTTGTTTTGTTTTAGTCTTTTATAGCCTCAAACCATTTGGCCATTAGTTGGATAACAAAAGAAAAACATAGATATATAATGCATACAATTGTGTTGACATTCAATCAATTCAAACCTCACTATTCCCAGTGCTCTCTCTTTTCTCAATTATAAAAGCAAAAGTACTAACAAAAGCACAACTATTTCTATACTAATATTGTATTTCTGCTGATATCACGCAAAGCATAACTTATTTGATGAAAAACGAGAAACTATTTGACTTTAATGCATATTCAGACACATTAACAAACATTTTCATATTATATATAAACGATTGTAACGTAAAATAGATACAAATTGTATAATAATAATAATTAAATATTTCATTTATCATAAGGAATATTCAATTGTTTTTATTTAATACTATTTTATTTAGAGAGAAATTGACAATTATTTATAAGAATATTCTGTTTGTATAATATAAATAGACATCACTTATGCCATCTATTTGTCTAAACTATAGTTAATTATATAATTTATAAATTTACATTAAATAACTTATAATTATTATTTTATATACCTGTATAATACAGTCTATATATAATAAATTAGAAAAGTCTACACTTATAATATAAATTTTATATTTGAATAATTGATTGATCAATCAAAATATTCACATAATTATACAAAAATCATTGTATATAAAAAAATTGATATAATTTCTAAATGACTAATAAAAGCTAACAAATAACTAAATATTATTTTTAACTAAAATAAAATAATATTAAAATAATTATACTAAATAATTAGATAAATTTAAGTTTTTAGGATTTTAAGTCACGACTTGAGTAAAACTTTTGCAGTCAATACTATGTTTATACAGTATATAAAGTTTATAATGTTTACGATAATGAACTGAATATTGTAAGTGGGTATTGAAGTAAACAATTTTCATCTATAATAAAGATTTTATTTCTATTTAATTTTAACACTAAAAGTATAACAATGAAATTCTTTAGGTATAAAATACATATAATATATATTTTGGTAATTTCATCTTCAAGTACATACCAATTCTTGATATAAAATAATATATAATTTATTATGAAAATTATATACTCTTTCTATATATGAAAGAAATTTCTTGAATCTCTTTCTCTCTAAACTTGTTTTATCTTAAATTGACTTACAGTATGATTATAATTGTAAATAATTATATTTAATTACCTATAAATATCATTGATATGTATTTATTAATTTATTAAAATGTTAATTAAGATTTATTGTATTTGTTTCTATACGAGTGAAATACACATTATATACAGTAATGTAAAATTTAGATATTGTATAATAATGTATTATACAGTATATTAATAATAATACAATACATGTATTAAACAACTGTATACTGCTTTACATTTATGTTACTCTTTTAATTATATCTACATTTAATTGTATTTAATACTCTATAATATTATAGTCTATAAAATTGATTGATATTTCTAAATTTCACTAAAAAACAATTATTGTATTTCTATATACAGGTATCATAAGTGAAATACATTATACAGTATTAAATAATACAAAATTAAAATATTATTAAAATTATATTTTTCATTTGGCAACTCTATAGTGAATCAATAAATGTTTATAAATATAATTATAAAATTTAAAGACTGCTTTTAATTGAATAATACATTAAAATCTGATATATATTGAAAACCTTATATTATAAAAACAAGTGTTAGTATTGAATAATTGAAATATTATTAACAATAGATTTAATTAATGAATTTAAAGACTATAATAATGTATAATATAATCAATGAGTTGACTATAGGGTGTAATCACAGCAAATATAACTCCCATTTAAAGCATAACAAAGTTGTTGTCGTTTGTAACCAATGGAGACATTATTAGAGTCATAGACTATGGAGTGTTGTATAGAGTGTTGTATTGAGTGATGTATTGAGTGTTTGGTTTGCATTTAAAGCCAAAAGTTTTGAAGCATTCATTCAATACATAGACTATTGTATTGAATGAGTCTTTGAACGCCATTTTTGGCACAAAAACAATGAATTGAATCAATGATTGCAACGATTGTGACAACACTTGTGGCCAAACATTGCCGAAGTCATTACCGAAACATTTAGTGACTTTGTTTTGATTGCAATCAGTTGCTGACCACTTGTATTGTTCAACATTAACGACAACTTTTGACGATTCAAACTTAATGGCGAGTGTATCGCTACCTACGAGTGCGGCCAATGTGACCAACGGGTCATTTGGTGGCCATTTGAAGAACGGAACCAACACTTCGGTTAACTCGAATCACGGCTCAGACTTTGAGTTTATTCCTCCGCCAGAATGTCCTATATTTTATCCGACAGAAGAAGAGTTTGCAATGGGACCACTTGAGTACATCTCGAAGATTAGGGCCGAAGCTGAACCACACGGCATCTGTAAAATCATACCACCAAATGTACCACTTGTTTGATAACAATACTCTTATATCTCATCTATTAATCACTAATTGCTTTCATACTTATTAACATATTTTTTACATATTATTAGACCAATTAGTTATTTAGTTATTATTTATTTAATTATTATAGTTATTAATTAATGTCATAGACTATGAATCGATGACTTTAATTAATTTACAATTTTGTTGATTAGATTTAATTAATCTTTTATTTAAAAAGACTAAACCATTTGTTATGATTTATTAGTTAACTAATTGACAATTGCTTGCGATTATGTAATTAATAATTTATGAATATTTATTTGCAATTTATATATAGTTAGATAAATATAGTATAATATGATACAAACAATATAATTAATTAGTCATTTAAATTTATAACTAAATAACAACTTAAAAATAATGCATACGATATATAGGCCGCACCCTATGTTTCCTACTATGTATCCTAACAATGCTTGTATTACTTAATTATATTTATATCATTTATATATTTAAACACTAAGTATTAATTTATAATAAGATATAAAATAGAGAGATAACTGAAATGTAAATCTAAGACATTGTGTATTGAAATGACAGACATTTCAGCCGCCATTTGCTGTGGCCGTCGAAGAGTTCCGGTTTACGCCTCGTATTCAACGTCTGAATGAGTTGGAAGCGACCACAAGAATCAAATTAAATTTTATTGAACAGATCGTCAAGTTCTGGGATTTACAGGTAAAACATTTTATTTATTTCTGATTTATCTTTTTTTGATCTTAACTATCATAAAGGCATTGAAATAAAGCCATTATTTGATAAATGCTTTCAGTTTATGTGAATAATTCACGTATTTCTAGTATTTATACAGTTGTCTATAATTTTATTCGTGTAATATATTGTATAGTTGTGTATATAATGATTTTGTTTATGAAATGAAATGTTTTATTTTTGAACTAATATTGTTAAACAATATATTATTTTTATTATGCAAATATTACAATTTGACAATATTATTGTCTAATATTTTTAAAAGGGCGCCTCCTTTAAGATCCCAACTCTCGAAAGACGTTCACTTGATTTATATAATTTACACAAAATTGTTGCTGAAGAGGGAGGCTTTGAGATTTGCACTCGAGATAGAAAGTGGTCGCGAGTGGCCACACGTATGGGTTACGGAAGTATAACTATTATTTAACTGATTTTTATTTACATAATAAACGTATATTTTATTGTATTAATAGATAACTCTTCGAGCAAAGGAACCATTGCTTCTCTATTAAGACAACATTACGAGAGAATTCTTTTCCCTTACGATGTATTTCAAAGCGGAGCAACTATTGGACCCGATATCGTGAGTTTGTGGCATCAGTTTTATCAAAAGATTTAATTTACAGTTATATGTATCTCAGGAAGAAAAATGTGATTCAAAATTATCTGATGAGGAAAAAGAAGAAGACAAGAATAAGAACCCAAAATCAAGCGATAAGGAAGCGACGACTCCTGAGAAACGAATATTGAGGAGACAATCGATGTCACCATCAAATCAAAATCCATTACTGGTTTCACCAAATTCTCAAAATAAAGAGTTACGAAAATTGCAAGTTTATGGCGCCGGACCTAAAATGCCCGGATATGTCTCCGAACAAACAGATCAATCAGTTAAGGTCTGTTCAGAGACCTATAATGATTGTACTGAAGAATTGAATTCAAAAACTTGTTTACCACAGGTTTGTCTGCATTGCGGGGAAACAAATCCTCAACCAATGCTCTTAACTTGTGATAACTGTTCCAACACTTATCACACTCATTGTCTTATTCCTCCACTTAATGATTGGCCTAAAGGTTTGTTTAGTTGTATGTTATATGTTATGCTTATTACAAAATTGTTATTATAATAGGTGTTTGGCATTGCCATCGATGTCTTGCTTTATTGGTTCAGTCATATCCTCAGCCTTATACTCAAGAGTTTGGTTTTGTTCAGTCACAGAAAAGTTATACTTTATCTGAATTTGGAGAAATGGCCGATCAATTTAAAGCCGATTATTTCAATTGTCCGCCACATGTAAATTATTTCTATTTTAATATTTTATTTAGTAATTTTCAATATATATGTATATTATTATAGTCAGTAACTCATTCATTGGCTGAAAAAGAGTTTTGGCGTTTAGTTTCTGCTATAGAAGAATCGGTTACTGTTGAATATGGCGCTGATTTACATACCAATGATTATGGCAGTGGTTTTCCCACAAAAACAACTAAAAATCTGTTGCCTTCGGATATGGTATTATTATTATTATTATTATTTAGAAATAAATTATATAATACCTTAGATTTGTTTACCGAAACTAATTTTGTATTGTTATTAACATATTAAGGAATATATAAATCATTTATGGAATTTAAATAACATACCAGTGCTTGAAGGAAGTGTGTTTCGTCACATAAATGCTAATATTAGTGGAATGATAGTTCCGTGGATGTATGTGGGGATGTGTTTCGCCACATTTTGTTGGCATAATGAAGACCATTGGACTTATTCTATTAATTATTTACATTGGGGTGAACCTAAAACATGGTATGGAGTTCCGGGTGAACACGCAGAGACATTTGAAAGAGCTATGAAAAGAGCTGCACCCGAACTGTTCAAATCACAGCCCGATCTTCTCCATCAATTGGTTACTATTTGTAATCCCAATATTCTAATGCAAGACGGCGTTCCCGTCTACAGGTGTAACCAACAAGCGGGTGAATTTGTGGTAACATTTCCGCGATCATATCACACAGGTTTCAATCAGGGTCTTAATTTTGCCGAAGCTGTTAATTTTGCACCATCTGATTGGTTACCAATAGGACGCGTTTGTATCACTCATTACGCTATGCTTCATAGGTTTCCAGTGTTTAGTCACGACGAACTGATTTGCAAAATGGCTAACGATCCCAATCATCTGGAGATCACATTAGCAGTTGAGACATATAAAGATATGCTTCGTATGGTTGAAAGCGAGAAGTCCTCCCGATTGGGACTTCTCGAATGGGGTGTCACTCAGGCTGAACGCGAAGCCTTTGAATTACTGGCAGATGATGAACGACAATGTGATTACTGTAAAACCACTTGTTTTCTATCAGCTCTTACTTGTAGTTGTACTCAATGTATGTTATTTTGTCTGAATTTTTATTACCGTTACTCCTATTTATACTAACATTTATTATGGAAATATTTAGCTAAAATCGTGTGTCTGACGCATAAAGATAACCTCTGTAAGACATGTCTACCATCACAGCATACTCTTCGTTATAGATATACATTGGATGAGTTGCCTATAATGTTACACCATTTGAGGAAAAGGGCCGAAAAATTTGATGACTGGGCTTCAAATGTCCAAACATTACTTAAAAAGATTGACACAAATACTGACTTAAATGGTTTGTGTATTTGATTTTTGTTACAAATGTACAACTATTACAATAATATTTTTTGAATAGATTGTAATGAACCAAAAGTTAGTCCAACGCTTAAAGAGTTAAAATCATCACTAAATGATGCGGTGGTTAATAAATATCCGACAAATTCAGAGATTTATGAACATTTGAATTCTATTGTATCGGAAGCGTCCAAATGTTCGCGAGCGGCCAAAGATCTTCTTAAACAACAGGAGACTCTTCGAAAACAACAACTGAATGTTGGTTCACAACATCAGACATCACCTGTAAAAAGAACACTTCGATCAACAGCTGGACGTAATGCCAACGCCGGACTCAAAGATAATGTTAATATAAAACTTACGTTAGAAGAGATCAGTTTATTCTATGATGAAGTCGAAGAACTTCAGTGCGAAATACCGGAGAAACAGGCATTAAAACAATTGCTCGATCGCTGCAATTCAATCGCCGCATCCATTATGAGTGTCTTAAATACGAATAACACCAAAGATATCAACGAATCACTCAAATCATCTGATTTAGAGGCCGTCCTATTTGATGCCCAATCTATAGTCGTCGTTGACTTTGGGCCACAACTGGAGGCCTTTCGACATAAACTTGAAGAGATCCGTTGGTTAGAGGAATGTGACGCTATTCTCATTACTAAAGAAGATGTTAAGCCAGGAAATCAAAAGAAATACGAAATATCAACTGTTAAGACATTGATTGAAAATACTTTAAAATTAGCGGTAAATACTGATGTTATTAATTCAAAGTTAAATGAATTGCAACAAATTGTCGACGAATCCAATAAATGGATGGAAAGAGCGGCCAATTGTTTTGTTAAGACTGAGTCTGAAAGTGAGACAAATAGTGGCAAACCATTACTTTCTTTACTCGAATCACTAATAGATGAAAGTGAAAATAATGTTTATCTTAAACAACTTGTTTTATCGCCACAAATCGATAATATTCGCGTAACAGTGCAAAAGGCTCGCAATTGGATCAGTCAAGTGAATGACATCTTTGGAAACGATTACCAAAAACATAGTTCTAAAGGCACATCAAATACAGTCAACTCGGGGGACGCGCCTATGATTGAAGCTATAGAAGAGTTAGTTGTGGCTGCAAATGGTATCGATTGTCAATTAACTCATTTAGCAAACTTGGATTCAACTATAACAGCTTCCCGACAATGGAAGGACCGACTCAACAGAGCCTTCACTAAAAAGAATTCATTATACACTATAATTCAAATACTTAGTCCTCGTATCGCATCCATGGGTCAGACATCTGACTGTTCATTCACTTCTCGGACATTATTTCATTATTTAAAGCGACTTTCATCACAGACACAAAATCAATCAAAATTAGGCAAAAGTCCGAATTTGCGAACTCAACCAAAAAGTTTGTTTGAAACCCAATTAGGCGGCGAAAACTCGCGGACACACATCGCAGCCCTCTATAAGTTGTTTGAAGAACAGGAATTAAATCACTTGAGATCATTAAGAAAACGAAATTCAACTAAAAGACTATATTTGGAGAGAAAGGCCATCGATTTGGTCGATGATACTAATGATACGGATGAAGAACAAAAAAGACAAGCTTTAAAGTTCTGTATTTGTGGTAAAGAAGAAGATGAATGGATGGTTGAGTGTCAGCTTTGTTTTGATTGGTTTCATAATAAGTGTATTCAAAACTCTCAATCACTTTATATGCGGAAAAAACAACAAATAAATCAACAAATTTTGCCAAATGATTGGCCACAACCTCAACAACATATGATATGCGATTTATGTTCGCGAGGAAAGAGACCTAAAGTAGACAGTATTGTCAATCTTTTATGTTCACTGCAGAAACTTCCCGTAAGACTTCTTGAGGGCGAACTTCTTCAATGTTTAGCTGAAAGAGCCATCAAATGGCAAAACAAACTGCAATCGGTCCGTAATTCACATTCCGATTTAGATGCGGCCTATAAACGGATCGAAAAATTACAATCAGATAGTAATCGGGAATCACAACAAACTGATAAAACTGACGATTTGGCCACTGAAGAAGCAACTGCTCAGGCATTACTTGCTTTACAGAGATCTCAGCCAACTGTTAATCTCGAAATACAATCGCCTAACACTTCGACTATTGCGTCAAACGATTCAATTATATCATCTCAAGAATTGTCTCCATTGAAAAACAAACGCAAATCACCACTTGTTTTAAGAGGTAATTAAATATTATTAATATAATAACTATTAGTTATTAATAATAATATGTATTTTTAGCTGAAGCTGTCGCTCAACCTATCATTGAATTGAGTGCCCAATCATTGGAAGTGTTGTCAGAATTGTTATTTGAAGTAAACTGTTTGGAAGTCAGTTTAGAAGAGACATCAAACCTGTGGCTCATTTGGCATATGTCTCAGTAAGTGTTAATCGCGTCTAAACATTAAATACTTTATTTATTTTAAAACAATTTCTTTTTTTAGACCAAATTATCGAACAGTTTTAAGAAATTTAGACTCAAATGATAATAATATTGAAGAGAATAAACGAAAATCAGTTTCAGAATCAATTGATAGCGAAACTCAAAACAAAAAGAAAAAACAAATGATATCTAAAGATAAAAACATAAAAAATATTCGTAAAAATGGCAAAAAAGGCAAATCTGATGACAGCGACGAACTCTGCGAAATGAAAGACAAATGTCTTAAACCAAATGGTTTGTAAAAAAAATTTAAAAATTCTATAATTAAATTATTTGTAAGTAATATTATGTCTATTTTGTTTGAAACAGTGGCTCAGGTAGATTGGGTTCAATGTGAAGGTCAATGCCAAGGATGGTATCATCAGTTATGTATTGGTATCGAAAGTCCGGACCAAATCGAGGCTTTGGAAAAATTCTTTTGTATTAATTGCAAACCAACCGATTAAGAGATAGCTTTTAAATTGTTTACTTTTATTATAGATTTAATGATTATTTAGTTTAAGTCTAAGCTTTTTTTTGATTGAATGTAATATAGATAAAGTAAATTCATAAAATATATTATTGCATTAAATGTATGTTTATATAAATGTAAAACATTAAAATTTAATTATATCATCAATATATATATATATACAAAATACCAATGTTTTCAATAAATCCTATTTAATATTAAGTTGAATTGGATTTAATTTATTTTTGAAATTCAAATTAATTATTAAACTAAAATTTCAATTATTGGTCATTTTTGATTACCGGTAATCTTAAAATTTATCCGATAATTGGAATCGACTTGTTTTTTAAATGTCAACTAATTATCTGTAATTATTGTAATTTTAGGATTAATTGTAAAAATTATTAATAATTACAATATTATTTATAACAGTCATTAGTAGTGTATTGATTAATAATTTTTTATACTCTATTAAATAGTTGTTATAATAGTTGCTAAAAAGTCAAATAGTTGTTAAAATAGTTATTTAAACTGTATTAAATAGTTGTATATACGGTAATTGCCAAAAAAGCCAAATAGTTATTGAAATAGTTATTTATTTTCTTATAAATATTTCAACTGATATATAATTCACTTGTTTTCAGCATATTTACAAAAATGATTTATATAAATAAACTAATTATTTCTATTGTTAAAAAGTAATATGAGTTAATAACAGTTTACATATTTTATATAATTTATATAACTATTACTTTTTGTTTTTACATATATTTGTGCAATATTTTACAATTTAATGCTTATATTTTTCAAAATCAATGAAATAATTATTTATAAGTTTTTATAGTTGCTAACCCAACAAATAGTTATTAATAGTTATAATAAAATTTCGGAAATAGCGTCCACTGGTCAACTTCGGTGGACATACTAAGTCCCAGTTATAAGCGTTGAACCGACAAAATAATTTTTTTAGTTGGAAATCAAGACACTAGTCATTAGTCATTTTTATATTTAAAATATGGTTTAATATACAGTAGAGTTTTAAGATAAAGCCGTCAAATGTTACAATTTAGTTATTTTTCGCATTTAAAATCAACATTTTAGTTTAGTTTAGCCTTAATTTAATATATACACTACACATATATTGTTTAAATTTAAATAATCGTTAATCATATAAAACATAATTATTTTACAATATATCAATACAATAGTACAACAAATATATTTAAAATTGGATATATTTCTAAACGAATAAAATAATAAATTATTAAAAATATATTACATTTAAATAATAAATTATTGACAACATTTCATACATTGTTTAAAATGTAATTTAATTAATTCAAGCAAATATTTAAGATTATGTTTATTCGACATTTTTACTTAATATTTCCATTAAATAAATGATTTATATTTTTATTAAATTTCTTGATTTAATTTATTGTTTAATATTTAATTAAATTTAACAATTATTTAACAATTAGGTGATAATTTATTATCGATAAAACAACGTTTAATGAAAATTATTACAATATATAAATAGTATTTATGAGATAATACAGTATAAACATTAATAAGTTATAATGACGTTAACATTGGTATATAAAAATAAAAGATTTTTTTTATAAAAAAGTAATAAAATATAATAATTATTATTATTATAATTAATAAAAGGACCCGTTTTCTCCTTGTAATATATAATTTTAAAAATATTTAAAAGGCACTTATATTATTGATATTCAATAAAATTGAAATTTAGTAATAAAAATATTTTAGTGTATGTAATACGTGTAAATAAATAAAACTTTAAATAAAATAATATAATGTGTTGTTATATTGTAATTTATAATACTATAAATTCGATGTAAATTAATACCATTAATAAGACTAAAATAGTTAAACCGGTATTTTAATAAAAGTGCACTATTTATACTTAATATTAAATTATATATACAGTAATGTAGTGCAAGAAAATAATGACTCAGAAATGTTTGTTTAAATCATTGACTATTAGTAAAAAGTTAATTAGTATAATACTCTGTAATTATAATACTAATTCAATAATAATTATTATTATATAATGCTTTCATTTCGTGTTATATATCAAAAATAGTATTCATATAAAACTCATTTAAAACAAAATCGTGTCATAAAATCAAGGATTCTGTCAAAAGTTTCATCAAATAACTGATACTTGTATTTCATTAGTGTTGACGAGGAATGACTGCGACAATCGATGCAATTGATTGTTATGTATTGCAAGGAATGTTGTGTTATACCAGTCATAGGAATGTCCTCTAAATAGAAGTAAATGTCAATTCATTAAATAATTAAATTTAGTAAAAAATATGTCAAATCAATCAATACAAATACATAAATTATTAGTTATTAATACTGCAGTTAAATAAAAAAAAAAACGATTGAAAGCAAACCTCAAGTCAGTGGCAATCATATGAGCGACGAGAGTCCTTCCCTCGCCGTTAGCCGTTAGAGACCAACGCGATTCATAGAGATAACCACTTTCTATGACTTCTATATTATTAAGACTATTGATCCTCCAATTCCTCTTAATAATCATTGTCTTAATCGGTAAAAAAGCACTCGTCTGTAGTCTTACAATAAAAGTATCGCTCATTTGTGTTGTTTCGTCACCAATACTCCACTCAATGATAGTGACATCAATCAAATGTCTTATTTAAAAAACATAAATTAATAAAATAAAACAATTTGAATATAAAAAATTGTTTAAACCTCTCATAAAGAATTCGATTAAGAATATCATTGGGACCGCAATCGATGACAGCTGTAGCCTCATGTTTACGAGGAAGGGATATGTCTTCCAATGTAGTCAACAACGAGTAGGCATTAAGTGATACCAAAAATAGTATTTCGCAATTATTTATACAAAATTCAAGACATTTCTGAGCGTCAAAAAGTTGTTGATCGCCATCACATTCACATAGAGATGGTGTCCAACAAATGGCCAAATTATGACAATTCATTTGATTAACTTTAGAGTTGTTTGCAATTAGTGCTAAAAATCTAAGAATAATTTGAAGAATAGCTCTTTGAGTGTCCGGAACCATACATAAAGTAAACTCTTTTTTATTTTGTTTGAATGAACTTATAATTTGTTGAGTTATTAGTTGTTTAGTTTTATTAGTTTTTTGGTCGACAATCTCTCTAAACCACAATTTAACGACATCTGCAATATCATAGACACAGACAGTGGAAAAGTCAATATCAATACCCTCTTCTACTTCCTCTTTAAGAGTTTGAATACGAGACTTAACACCAGATTTGCGGAAAATACCAATACTATTGACTCCCTTTTGAGATAAAAATATTAGTGACTTCTCTATGAAAAGCGGTAAAACAAAATCTGTGTAAAACATCTGTAACTCATCTAAATCACAGCCAAACAGTCGTTTCCGACTCTCTGATGATATCAAAGAATATTTTGATTTCGATAGACTATTCATCCAAACATTATTATCGATATCATTAATACTGTTATTATTATTATTTGTTTTATTATTATTTATGCTATTATTATTATTATTATTATTATTATTGATCCTCAAATTTAATTGTAGAGTCTGTAAAATAAACAATATACAGTACTGTTTATAAATTTTAATATTTATAAAACAAACTTAAATATTATGGTCTATGGTATTGAAAAATAAAAATTATATATAATAATAATTTATTCAAATAACTCAATTTTATATTGTAAAATTGTAAATGCATTATCTAAATTTATCACATTTATGTAATAATTAATAATAAGACATAAATTTACACTGATAATTAAATTTATTTAATAACTAATAATTTTAATAACATTTTTAAAAATATACTTATATTAAGTAATTTTTAAGTATGTTTAAGTATAACTTAATGTGATAAAGTATTATTAAAATAGTATAATTTTATTATTTCAATAGTACTGTAAGATTATTATGTTTTTGTATATAATTTATATTACACATGAAATGAGGTCCGATTTTAATGCTAATAAACAGTGGTTTTATTGATGAAATAAAACAATATTTTGATTGAACTAAATTAAAGTTCATTTGACTTGAAATTTGTTTCAACCCATAAAACAGAGACAATAAACTATTAATATATTATTCTTATGCTATGATTATAGTACACAACAAGTGTTTTTATTTTATATATAATATATTATATAGTACTACAGTATTGTAAGTTATTTTTATATTATCATAGATTTAATGCTTCAATTCAAACATAATTAAGAAAAGCAGTGCAAAGTACATAAACTTTTACTACTTAAGCCGTCAGACTAAGGCTTACCAATGGGTCGACCACTTATAGACCCTATACTACAATACAGTAATATAAAACACTTGCCATTTGGGATCTCAATAAAAAGTTATCAATTATCAAAAAACATACATACAGTACATGTATATCATATAAGTTAAATTATATGAGTGTCCCCATAGCGGCTCTATCTTACTATGAGACCCGCATCAGACTCCCGTTTCTCGATTTTTTTTGAATATCTATTAAACCATATTTTTTTAAATATAAAAATGACCACAAATAGCAATGTTATGACTATTTTATACTCAATATATTTATAATTCATCATTTTTTATTTAATCTTATGATTGACCAGATATTCAAAAAACTAATGAGTCGTGAGTCTGATTTTAAGATAGAGCCTCCTATAGCTCCCACTCCTCGATAATTAATGAATTTTAAAAACTCTTTATGTATTTCATTCACAATATTAGTTATTTTTTATTGTAGTCTAAAATATATAGCGAAGTATATAATTAGATATTATAAAAAATAACTAATTTTATGTGATCTGAATATACAAAAAGGTTATAATTTATAAAACAACATGTTTTTGTACGCCTTTATATATCAAAGTTTTTTTGCCAAAAATATATGCATTTTATATGAATTTGTATTAAGTATTTATAGCATATTTAATATAAAAGTCAAAAATTATTTAATTATTAAAATTAAAACATTAGAAATATTTGTTTTATAGTTTAAATAAGTTTTAAAAACGATATGTTATATAAATTATCACATAATATGAAATTATAAACAAAATAAATAATTTAATAAAATATGAGAAAAATATAAACAATAAAAGTTTAGACATATATATTGATAACGATTTTAACTTTAGACATAAAACTTACCAATTGTTGGATCTGATGGGCAGTCATGAGCTCAATATCTAACTCGTCGTTGTTGTCGTATTCACTGAATCGATGATAATTGATATCAAATGAATGGTTAACATAAGTGCAGCCATCGGTATAATACTTGTGTTGATTCCGGCCATCGGTATAATACTTGTGTCGATTCTGGCCATCGCTACTCTTCGAGTCTTTAGATTCACTATAAGTACTGCTAATTGTGTTGACATTACTGTCACTATTTGTGGCAATAGTTGGTGTCTGTGACTCATGGGATCCAATGCTGGCCAACGACTGACTCTTAGACGATGACTGCTTGTCATTGAGTTCATAGTCAATGTCAACAATCGGAGATATTTGTGTTAACTCGTGAGCCAATTGATTAAACAGAGTATCACAATAGATCTGAAGATCACCGATAGTGTGGTAATTGTTTGGTTCATCAAATGGATTGTTCAATAGATTTACATCAACAGCACATGTCATCTGTTTTTCTGCATTTTCCAGATATTTATACATTGATTCATATGTTATACCATCTGAAGAAGTCATTGTCTTTGACAACACAACTGACACTTCATGTGATTTGTTGTGATATTTATAACAAACAAACAAACAGTCAGTAAATCGCTTGAAATACAACTAAAAACTGAAAACAATTATCACATAAACTGTAAAATAGTGTTTGTGTTATACATTAGTAATGATTACTCTTTACATTCATTACTAATACTTATAAACAGTTTCATTATAAACAAAACCAAAACAATAATGTCCGCCACACAATGTTAACCTTATTTAACTTTTTTGACACTACTCTTAAATTACGTTATCATATTTATTGCTATTAATCTATTTGTGTAAGCAATTAATATGATAACGTAATTTAAGAGTAGTGTCAAAAAAGTTAAATAAGGTAAATTTATCATAGCGTTGCGGCCATTATTGTTTTGGTTTTGTTTATAATGAAACAGTTTTTTAAATTTAATCAGTTTATTATAGGCTTTCAAAACAACTTCAGAAACGACGTCCAATTAAAACATACATAACATTAATAACGCTTCAAATAATAGTAAATTAAAACTGTCTCACTTTGTGCTAAACCAAATCTATATGAGTTGCACCACAAATACATAGATATATCATAGATTATACTTAATATATACATACAAATAAAAATTAAAACTCCTCCTCTAAGCATTAAACGTTATAATATCGCGCCCATATATATTGCTGTTATACTATAAAGCGTACAGTAATAATGTAAAGATTTATATATAAGATATTATTTTTTAAATTAATTAATTAACTAATAAAATATAAATTATAATTTTTTATTGAAATAGAAATATTTTAAATTTTTAACAATTATTAAAATTTAATTTTATTTATGAATATATTAATTATTATTTAATTATTATATTTTAATTTAATAATTATTTAAATTTGTATTTAATAAATTATTAATTGTATTAATTATTAATATGGAATATATAAAAAATTATTAATTATACAAAATTATTATAAAAAATATTAATTATAAAAAATATATATATTTAATCTAAAAAAAATGTAGATATTATATGACAACTATGACATTAGTTTTATTATTATTATTATTATTATTAGACATTTTAATTAACTTTAATTAACTTTAAAAACTATATTATTGCACATAATTGATTGTTATTAATATTGTATTGTATTTATCACAATATTTAGTACTATTTATAACTAATATTTATTATTTAATCACATTTGTTATCACAAATCTAAAAGTACTTAAACAACACGTGGACTTAGTTTGTTTTCAATGCCACACAATGTCATCCTATAATACAGTCAATAGTATATATGCGCGCAATATTATAGCGTCTAATGCTTAAGGGGCGGAGTTTTTACATGGCATAGTTATTATACACACTAAGTTGTATTGTTTGTATATATTAAGTATAATCTATGATATATCTATGTATTTGTGGTGCAACTCATATAGATTTGGTTTAGCACAAAGTGAGACAGTTTTATTAGTGTTGAAAATTTTACATAAATTTTGATAATGCTTTTAAAGTTTATAAAAATATATGTTTTATTTAGTTAAATTTATTTAATATAATATTTTTATATAAAAACATAAAATCTTAACAAATATTTCATTATTATTATTATTATTATTAAATTCATTAAATAAAACATTATTAATATCTATATTTTATTATTAAGTTTAACATTATATTTTAATTACTCAATAAAGTAGATTAATAGCATATTTTAAGGATGGGAACGATTACAGACGTCCAAAAAACTTCAATATTTGAAAATATTTGATAACTCAGTAAATTTAACCATTCAATTGCTATGGAAAAGAAATTCACATACTTTTATAATTTCATAAATCATTAAATTGTATTATAATAACTGTCTTTTCAACAAATAGTTAATTTTTAATTTTTTAGTTGAAAAATAATCATTAAAACAATGTTATATTTAGATTAACTTTAACGTGATTTTAACTATTTTATTTAGTTTTACTCAATAATTACATTCATATGTTATATAACACTTAATAAAATATTATAAATTATAATTATAATTTTTACTTGAAAAAAATTTCGGCTCCGAAATTTTAGCAAGGTCATTCTCCTAATTTTAAGCGATAATTTTTTTTAATTTCGTCAAAATGTTTGGGCCAAATACCAAAATCTCGACTTAGAGGGGGGTATTTTTGCCTTACATAATGTTTATATAATTTTGAAATATTTTTTAATTTGACTTATTTGTATTAAACTAATATAATAAAATTAGAATTATTTAGACTAACATTTAATTTTAAGTAACTTTAATTAATTTTATAGTAAAATATAAATATTGTATATCTTTTTTATTTAAATGATTATTACATTTATAGAATACCTATATTTTCTTTTTAAGTCAGAAACCACCTATAAATTCATGACTCTTAACAATAATAGTATTAATCCTTAAATATGAGACTTTTATAAATAAGACTAAATATTTATAAGTGGTTTCTGACTTAAAAAAGTCAATTATAAAATTTAATTTAGTTGTATTATATACTATATGATATCTATATTTTTAAATAATTTATTTATTTATATAATAATTTAGTAAATGATAAAATAAAATATAAATTAATAAACAATATATTTATTTAGTGTACATTTAAGAACAATATTCAATATACATAATAAATAAAATATATAATACACTCATAATATTTAAGTACATTTTAAGCACAAATATTGCCGATTAAATGACCGCACAATTGGAATGCAGTTCTGATTTGTTAATAATAATCTGTTTTATAGTATATATATAATTAAATATTCAATGAATTTTTACTATACTTTAATTACATTTGTTTTGTTCAAAAATGTATATATATTTATATATTTACAATAATATTTATATTTACAATTAAATCTAAACCATAAAATTTTCTCATTATTAGTAAATTTATTATTATTATTATTATTAACTTTGCATATAGTATAAAAAGATTCAAAAATGTATTATTTATTTTTAAAAAATTAAATAAATGTTAGCTCAAAGTTATTGTTATTATTATTATCATTATTATTACTATTATAAAGATTTATACACAAAAACATTTGAAAATAATTTGAGCACTGGTTGTGATTGTGGTAAACACCTTAGTATTATCCAGTTATATATATATATATGTTAAAATGTTAATCATAAATTACAATTATTAAATTTGTTGCAAAAATAAGTGCTCTTAAATAAAAAATTTAAGTTTTAATTAATGGTTTTATGATATGAATATTTTAGAGGACTGAGAATTTTGTTGTGTGTATATAAACTTATTGACGACACAAATAGATTTAAATACAATTATCAACAACTCTTACAATAATAAATCAACAATAATTATTAATTTAAAATAATTAACATCAACAATTTTGATCGCACTTTAGGTAAACAAAAAAATATATTTGTTTTTTATAAAATCGCTTTGATTTATACAAATTATAACAAATGATTAATCAATAAAAATATTCAATTCTTTAATTAGTTGTTATAAATTTATATGAAATTGATTTTAATCTCAATATATTTTTAATAGATTTGTAAATAAAAACTAAATAAAACTAAGAAAATCATAATATTTATATTTAAACTAATTTCATAATTTAAATTCAAAATATAAATTATAAGGAGTGTAAATTTAAATATATATATATATTATATATATAAATTTATATGTAAATAATTCAACTAAAAATACTATTTAAATAATATAATAGTAAAGTAATCCAATCAAATAGGAAAAATAATAAGCAAATACAGTATAGAATAAAATAATTTTGATGAAATATTTAGTTTTAAAAATGATTGATTAAAATAAATGATATAAAAATAGCACAAAATGAATACATGACGTTATAGTGATTTAAGATCTATATATTTGACATTAGATTAATCATTAGATCACAGAATTTATTAATTCATGAGACAATTTGATAGCAAAATCAATGACCAGTCATCTAAAACATTCAAATTTGAATTAATAAGTCATTTGATAAATGAAATATATTTATGAGTTATTAAAAAATTATTATGATTTTGGAGAACATTTACAATAAAGAGTTCTTAATAATTATTATAATAATTGAAAAAATCAATTTATAAATCAAAGCCAATATCTAAAGTCTTGACGTTTTAGTCTTTAATGATATCTTGTTTTTCATCATTTTTATTATTAGTAGTAGTATTAGCATTACTACTATTACTACTAGTATTACTATCGGTAATATTATTATCATTTTTACTGTTTGAGTGCACATTACTAGTATTATTTGAAGCGATGATAGGAGTGGCCGATTCAGACCATCTCCTAAATACAGAACTATCTTTGGCTTTCGCTTCTAATTTGTTTTTGGTTTGAACACCGGTTGATGAGTCGAGACTATGACTAGAGAGTAGATTAGAAGAGACGGTAGACGTGACGGTAGTTATTGTAGTAACGATTGACTCACTATTAGTTACGACAGACGTCTCATTCTTTTTCTGTCGCAAAGGATTTTTAAATCCTTCTAAAAAAGTTCGCTTAGATTTTGATGGACTCGCCTGTTGTTTATGTTGTGGCGGCTTATCAGATGAAGGACACGAATATTTACGATTAGATGAATCGGGAGATGGACTACAAGTCTTTACTGAATCACTTTCACTGCTATTCTCGTTGAGACCACTTTCCCATTCATTATTAACCGCTAAAAATGCTTTATGTTTTGATTTGGTTTTATTTGACTGACGCATTGATTTAGATGTAGCAGTTGATCCCAATTGTTGCTCTTTTGTCGTTAATTTGAGATTCTTCTCCCTGTGAACAGCTGCCGGATGGGACAGTGTCTTACGTAATGATGGATTCCATAAAGAACCTAATTCTGGTGCCGATCTATTTTGCAAAAATTAAATGTTATTAAATAATTACCATTAATATTAACACATTTTTAAAACATACACTTCTTTTGTTAATTCTTTTTGATAAGCAATTGGCGATTGAAGAGCTCTAAGAAAGTCGAGTTGAGTATCCAAAATGGCTCTAATATTAGTCACCCATAAAGCAGTAACTTCTTTGTTAGAGCCCTGACATAGAAACGCAATTTCAGACATATTTGGATCCTTAGACTTTAGAAGAAACTTTGTTGGGTCTGAATCATCAACTTTATCAATGAGACACATCTTATTAACCATTAGATGTGCTTTATATATATACACTGGATTAGAGAACTGTCCCTTTTGTCCAACAGTTTCACTAAATATAATAATTTGTTCAAAAAGGAAGACTTGTCTCTCTTTTAATTTGGTTGAGCCAATGGCTGCACTTATATTAGAGCTTCCAATGTTGCCTAATTCAGCCACGAGAAGCAATCCCTGATGTAATAGTTTTCCCTGAGCTGTAATCTTGCCATCAAAATGTTGAAGACGTCCGACACACATCATATCATTGGCTGCTTTGGGTACGACATGCATGATATGAACTGCTTTTTTCAAGTCTTCAGCCTCTTTGCTAAGACCTGCTCTTTCAGCACATTTTAACATATCTTTTAATAATAATTGATATTTCATTATCCTTTGAACTGGTTTTATAAGTAAATCAGGCAATTGAAGCTTATGTCCAAATTTTTGACGGATTTCCTTCAATTTAAAGATAATTATTGTTATATAAATTATAAGAAATATTTTTTAATAATAATCTTAATTTAGAAATGAATAATAACCTCAAAAAACGTGTCCACATATTCTGATACTATATGTTCTGATTTAGGTTTGTTTTGACAATAAACGACATACATATTAAGCCTACGCTCACATCGCCTAAAAAGAAGGCCTAATCTTTCGGGTTCTTCTAAACACTTTTCAATTTCAGCTAAAAACGAATCCCTGTGCCAGTCATATATAGCTTCAATGTTACCAAAAACTATTTTATCCTTTCCATTCTTTAAATCTTCGGGAACTTGTATATCACTTTCATTTCTCATTAATTCAAGATATCCATCAACAATAAGACCTAAGTTGTAGACATAATCTCTTTCAGTTTCGACTAATTCTTGTAAAATATATTTCCTTTTCAATAATGCCTTTTCCTGTTCTGATTCTCCACTCATTGAGTTATCGGTTTCGTTATCATTAATCAGTTCGTTATTAATAAAATCATTTTGATCTTTACATTCACTTAAATCATTATTTGTGTCATCTTTAGACATTTGTTCGTCCATTTCCTATGAATTTTAAGTTTAAAAAAATAAATAATTATAAAATAAATGCATTTAATTGTTAGCAACCGTTTGCACTTTAACTATGAGTTCGAGATCAGATGTGCCCAATTCAACAGATGATATCATGCTTTCGATCTAATAATTAAATAATCAAATAGTTTTCAATTAAGATGTTAACAATACAATCAATTTCATACATTAGAAGTAATGTCAACATTAGCTGCTGTATTGGTTGTCAACGAAGAGACGGCTGGATAACTGTGTTCTTGTATTTTCATAGGTGGAGGCAATTCAACATCTGTCACATCTCCATCTTCTTCAGAAACATTAATCACACATCCATTGAGATCAAGTGATTTAGAAGTTTGTGCGACCAATGATGATGGAGATGTCGGAAGTGAACTTAAATCAGACTTATTGGTGGACATGTGATCATCTGTTTTGGACAACACTTTAGTTGTTGAATCGTCTTTACTGTTGTTAATCTATTATAATAAATAATAAAATAATTAATATAATATAAATTGTAGTCATATATATATATAGATACATACCTTCCATGAAGTCATCGATTGAATTGTCTTTTTATGACCAGATTTGGGAGACTCGTTACCAGTGTTTGACGTTTTGTCCAATTTTCCTGCACTTAGTTTCCTAACGGGATTTGAAAGCCATTTCTTAAATGTTGCCTTCCGTTTGGTGGAAGTGCTGCTCTCACTACTAAATGAAGGACTCGACTCATTGCAAGCGTCTAAATATTTTATAATTATATTTTGTTTATATTAAATCTATTATTAATTATCATATTATTTATTATTGTTGTCATTTCAATCTATTTATTTTATTATATAAAAATATTATTTATTAATAATATATAATCAATATATTATAATATACTTTATAATTAGTATAATAAAAATAATGATTTTGTTGGCAAAAATGGGAAAAGACAGTAGTTTGACAAATAAAGCTAAATGTCATTTAAGTATATAAATAAATATATATATATATATATATATATATATATATATATAAATTGACAAAAATATAAATGTTATGTAAAATAATATTTCAGGCAATTATCTCATATTTATTTATAATACTATATATATAATTTAAATTACTAATACCTCTGAATTGAGATATATCAATATCAAGTGTCTCATTGACGTTATGACTATGCCGTGATTGGCACATATGAGCGCCTGGACAGCAAAACATGGATCAGCTCACAACAATAATGAGCAATCAGTTACGTGAGCATCTCTTAAGCACATAGCTTTAAAGTCAATAACAATTAGTTGGCTTATATATGTTAGTCATGTTAATAACGACATTCAATAGCTCGGAACAAGTGTGTGGTCCACATACCGGTTGTTTGTCGAGCGCTTATTCCGTGTGAAAATGGCTGACCCGCAGACATATTCTTCTAACACCTACAGCCTCTACAGTCTACTGTTTCTACAGATTCTGTAGGCCTGCACTCAACAGACTATATCACACATACATATTCAACATATATAACTTATATCAGTATATACTATATACTGTATATAATGCTTCACTACTCTATAGGATAGTAGACGACTCACTACTTCATCAGTGGTTTCACTAATCGTAATATATTTTTATATAATTCTCGCACATCTATACACTACAGTATAAAATGTATTACAGTGTTATATATAGTGGAATATAACTTACAGTTGTGTTATAATGCTATATAACTACTAATTCAATATATTTATAGTAGGAGTTAAACTTAATATTAAATAATTTATATATACAAATATTATCATTGATAAGTATAATAAACCATAATTTTAACAATTTGAATGACTTTCTATTAAATAAATTAACAAATTGATTGAACTGATTAATTAATATAAAAAGAAAATCGTTTATTAAATTTAGCCGATTTTGTAGTATTTTATGTTTTCTGTGTTTATATCATTATTCTCTCACTTTAAATGTTAGAGTATTATTATACCGTATACTATATTTTATAATGTAGCGGTAGTTATGTTGATTATTTACATCACTTTATTATTATGACATACTATACTGTAGTATAATGTATAATGAACAGGATATACTGTATAGTAACTATCAAATTATTATTATTATTATTATACAAGAATTTATAATATACTGTTGTATATATATTATTATACGCTTGCAATGAGCCCTTGAGTTTTAATGAGAGCAACACATCATCCAATGGAAGAAAACATTTAACAAATAGTTTGATTAAAAATATTTCTAATAATTCATATTTAAAAAAATATATAATAATAATTGAATGATAGAAACATTAGTAACAAGTGTTTTGTCAATTTGATAACATTTTGATAACAATCAGACAATACATACCGCGACGATCTGTTGCTATCGGATTGTAGTTGTTTTGAGTTGAGTTTGTTTTGAGAAATTGTTGACAAATTCAATGTCGAAAGCGCTGAACTAAAGAATGTCTCTTGAATTAACTGACGAAGTCTTTTAACCCAATTTTGTTTCACTTCTTGATCTTTGGCTTTAAATATAATTTTATTATCAGCTAACTGTACTAACCTACCCGTCCAAATAGCAAACTTAAGCTCATCTCCTTCAATGTGTTCGGTCACTCCGATCTCCGAAGTCATTAATTTATGTTTAAATATATATTTTACTTTTCCATTTGAATCTTTGACTTCTTTGCCAAAAACCAAATAAGTTTCAAATAGAAAAACCCTTCGCTCTCTACTCTTTCGAATCAATGATTTAGAGTCAAACATATGAAAAGATTCTTGAAGTATAACATCACCCAATTGGTCAACAGATATATCACAGCCCTCTAACATACTTAAGTGAAGAGCATCGTTGGCTTTTTTAGGAACGTATTCCATGACTTCTAAACCATCTTTTATCTCTCCTTCAAGTCCTTCATCACAACAAGAAAGCAAATCTTTAAGAAGTAAATGATATTTAGATATCCTTTGAACAGGTTTTATAAGATAAGCATTAATTGGATGGAAAACCCAATCATGTTTTTGTTGGACATCATAAAAAAATGGTCCGTTATATTGATCTAATATAGAATTAGATTGAGGCATATTCTTGCAGTATTCAACATATATGTCAAAACTTGAAGCCCACGTCACAAAACAGTGACCGATATCTTCAGGCATAGACTCATACTTTTCCAATTCTTTAAGAAATATACTATTTTATAAAAAATATATATATAATACAAATATTAATATAATACTAAATATAATATAAATGTAAGTTATATAATAATTATAACATTTAAAAGCTAATATCTTACTTATTATGAAAATCATAGATTTCTTCAATATTTCCAAAAATTAGTTTTTCTTTTCCAGCAATACTAATGGATAACTGATCAGAATTTTGACGAAATTCAATCAAATAGCTATTAATACAAATCTCAAGATCTTTAACATAAGTTCTTTCAGTACACAATAGCTCAGCCATAATAAACTCCTTCTTTCGGAGTGACTTTCTTTTCTCGTGTTCAGAGATAAGCCCTTCTCGACCACTGTTTGTATTCGAAACCAATGCTGTATTGAACTTAGTTGTCGGCGAAGATAATGAAGTGAATGAAGCTGTAGATGAAGTGGTAGGCGATGCTATTGGAGATTCAATTGATAATTTAGATTCACTTAGAGTATCACTGTTACTTGAATTAGCTCTAATTCCTAATTTATTTTCCAATTCGTGCTTATAATCATCTAATTGTTTTGTAAATTCATTATAAAGTTGATCAACAAAAGTGACCCATTTTTTTATAGCTATTGGATGAGTATTGCCTTTTTGTACCAAATTGTCGGATAAGTGAATTAAAAGTCTAACTTTTTCTTTTGATTCTTTAGAGTTAGCTTTGAAATCATTACAATCTTTAAGAAGTGCTTCTAATTCTTCAATATTTTTGTCACCAGAATCTGCAATTAGTTGTCGTTTGGATGATATGTATTTAATTCCCGTTTCATTGATCCATTTGAGCGCCTGTTTGGCCGTGTGTTCCACAAGAATGTATTGTTGGCAATGATCGAGACGTCTCTTCTTTTGTGTCCAAAAGTCTAAAACTTCATTCTCTTGTTTTAATAGTTTTTCCATAATGTGTTTGACATCATTTTCAGCAGTTCTATAGACACTATTGCCTGTAGAGGTCGAGTAATATTGTATACAACGCGCCGCATATTTCAAAAAAGTTTCGGCATTACGTCGGGCAAGTGTACAGGCTTTGAGGAACGCCTCTTTTTGCTCCTGGTGCTTACTTATACACTGTACTAGTATGGCCTCAACATCATCTTTACATGCAATTGGATGAATATTCACATTATCAGCGTTTAATTGATTAGCACCGCAATAATCTTCAATTCGTTGATATTCTCGATGAAGACTATCCAATACTGAATAGACCTGATCTGCTGTCTTAAAGAAATTAAGTGATGCCATCACTAATTTATGTCTGTCTTCCGCGTGACTCATTAATTGTTGCCATCGAGTGGCCACTTCAGTAGCTATATTGCGGATCATATCTGGATTAAAATGATTTCCTTGAATTAAGGATTCGGCCTTTTGCTGCAATTGTAAAGCACTTGAATGTGTTTTCTGTTTATGTAATATAAATATATTTCAATAAATATGTAAATTATAACAATAAATTCAAAATAACAAATTTATAAATAATAATGTATCAAAATTTTAAAAAATGAATTTCATTGTCACCTAAAAAAATATCACATATTTTTCAAATTACTTTTAAGTGAAACATATTTATTGAAACATCTCGTGATTAATAATTAAAAAATAATTAAAATCTATTAAAATTATTTAAAATCCGATAAAATATTAATAAAAAGGTAAATTATTGCGGTAAGATATCTAAAAAAACAAACTTTTTAACATATAAATTATTATCAATTAATATTTCAACAATTTTCATATCTTTAGATTACTAACCAACTTTATGTAACAATCATAAGTGTTTCATTCAAAAATTATTTGTTTAGACAATTAAATTTTCAATAAAAAATAAAATCTTCTAAATGTTTTATAAATTAGAATAGTTTATTCATTCAAATTTCACTAAATTTATTAAAATATTAAAAAGATTTACATTGAAAGGTAATATCTATAATTTGAAGTCCAATACCATTATGAGATAGCATAAAAGAATATATATATATATATATAAATAAATAATTAGATTATTAAATGTTAATTATTATTAACTATATGTAAATTAACTGTAACTGTAATGTAACTATTTAAAAGTTGCTAATAATTTTTTTTAATTATATAAAATAGTTTATAAAAACTAAATAAAAATTGAAAATATTGAATAGGGATTCGGATCGATTGTATTCAAATTATTCAATAACAGTATAATTTAATACTTATTAATTAAATATTTTTTAAAAACATGCTATTAATGTATAGGAAATGTTGGAAATTTATATAAAAATAAAAAAATGAATATTTCAAAATACTTGTTAATATTATTAAGTGTTATCTAAATTTATAAATAATTGTTAATATCATAAAACTAGTTATTTGTTAAATTGTGTAATAAATGTGATAAATATTGTTCACCTCAATAGCCAACTGGAACTGTTCGTGTTGTGTCTGTAGACTGTCTGCCTGAGCCAAACAATTGGGTATTTGAAAGGATGCCATAAGCATTGATTCTCCGTTTCGCATCCATTGAAGCACTTGATTGGCATCACTATGGAAGTGACACAATTGGATCATCTGTTCCAAACGCATACGTCTAATCTCAGACAAGTCCTCCAAATCCATGACTCTTTCGTGAAGAAACTCCAAAATCATTTGGACCCTAGCGTTGGCCGTTTGCTCGGAATCGGCCATCAAAAGGAAACCACACGACTCATATAACTGTTTTTTTTAATTAATTTTATAATCAAATTTAATATTTTAGATACTTATTTCAATAAACTGTTTTATTTTATTTTACTACATTTGTATATGTTATTTGTTTTAATTTGTATTTTAATAAGATTTTATTTATTATTAGTGGTTATTATTCATTATTTTATTAGTGTATTAAAAATGCTTATAAATATGATATAACTGCCAATATATCATACTTTGAGTAAATTTAAATTTATATACCAATATCTGTTAATATTTACAAAATATTGATTCAATTTTTAAGATATATTCTATTGATATAATTTAAACATAATAAACACAATTAAAATAATTTGCATAAGTTATATAGATATTGTCTATTCATTAAATTTAAATATACAGTATGTGAAATCAATTGCTGTTATAAATGTAAAAAAATATTAAAAATTACTTTTAATTGTCAATTCTCTATTTATATTATATAATATCTAAATAAATTAAATATAATATTAATATGATAAAAATTATTTTTTAAAAGTCTTGTAATATTCGTTGAAATATAAAATATCACATTAGTTATACAACTGAACAAACAATTTATTAAATAAAAGGATAATATATCGTATATAATATGTAAATCTAGTTATTAATATATAAACTAAAAACATATTCAGTACTTTTATCAGAAAATTTTATTGTTATTTTTAATGTTAATTTTATGACATTATAAATTAAATGAATAATTTATAGCTTATAAATGTTTAGACTTTATACTAGTATTTTTTGTGTAAATAGTTCAATAAATAATAGTTAAATAAAATTATATATTATTATATTAATTTTAACCTTTCATTGATGCAAATATGACTATACTGCCTATAACTAATATTAATATCATAATAAAAGTTTTACTTTTAATTTTTATAACTTTGCAATATAATAATTATTAAAATTTTATATTTAAAAAGATAAAATGTGTTAATATAATTCATTCTATTGTCATTAATCAGTTGTTAGGATAGCCTCAAAAGTTTTTACTTGAATTTTAACATTAAATTCTATAGTAACTTAAAAATACCTTTAAAACTGTTTATTAAAAATATTATTTTTCAAGTTACTGTATATAAGTTAATACTGTATATAATAAAAAATGAGTTTTAGATGTTTCCGTAGTTTTATTTTTATTAATTAATATTTTTTTAGAATATAAAGAATTGTTTTGTTTTATTATTGGGAACTAAAGGAATCGACATTTTTATTATTAATAATAATCTGATTTAGCGATACATTAAAAACTAAATTAAAAACCTCTACATATTGTACTACAAATGTACGAATCATACATTTGAATAAAAATAATATTTTATCAAATATATTGAATTTGCTGTCACTGACTTTGTTTTATGCATTGCTAATATGCTTTGTAAATTAATTTAATGAATTTGTCATTTTTAAATTATATACAATATTACGATTTGAATGTATTGAATGGAAAATAAAACTAAAATCAGTGCAAACCTGACAAAGTTGTTGTCCATTTTGCAACACTTGAAATATCAATTGTTGTAATCTCTGAAGCTTTTCGTTATGCAATTGAAGTATTTTTTCGACGGCATTCACATCATTACAATTCATTTGTTTTTTCTGCAATCGTTGTATTTCTTCAGCAAAGGCGTCAGTTTGTGTCGAGACAGTGAGGGCTTCCCTTTCAAAAGCTCTTAATTTAAGGCAGAAATCAAGTTTACACTTCCGACTGTTCCACAACTCTTCTATTTCTGGTATAATTGACTTAATCTTCTCTAATGACGACTCAATGGCAGTGACCGATGAATTTAAGGCATGCTTACAATCACAAGTATCTATAGACCGGTTTGTCTCCTCTTTTCTCAACTGTTCTATACATGTCTGTCCTTCTTTGACAGTAGTATTGGCCGCTTCTATCATAGAGTCTCTTTGATGTATTAATTGATTTATAGAGCTTTCAGTTAATTCATAAGATTCTGGCGCTTCAATGGTATCCGCTTTAAACTGTTGTCTTAATTCATTAAACCAGGAAAACAATTCCTTCTCGTGTGTGAAAAATAAGACACCGATATTCAAGAGGCTACGCCTGACTTCAACTCTTGCGGCAAAATTAGAAATATGTGTTTCTAATTGTTGTGCGACACCACATATTTCATCGGCATTGCACTCTCCAGTTCGGGCTAATTCTTCGGCTGCGGCCAACAATTTTTCAGCGTTTGTATATGTATTTTGCGCCACACTTTCAAAGTGGTTATGACTTTTCTGCAACGCTCTGGCTTTTGTAAGATTTCGTCCAACGCCTGGATTTTTCATGAGAAAGCCTTCTCCGTGAGTATTAATCCATTCAAGTACTTGTCGTACATCGTCTTGAAACAGGGCTAAAGCTAACCGTTGATGTAATTTTATTTTCTTGATTTGCCACATCGACTCAATGGCTCTATGATGAGCTAATATCTCATGAATAACTGCTACTATATGTTTGGCTCCTTCCTGATAATCTTTTACCGGATCAGCTCTTCTATAGTGTTCTGAATGAGAAGTGTCTAACTTATACGAGTGATACATTTGAACCAATAGATCCAATTGGTATAAAAGCTTTTTGCTATTTGTATGACAATCATTATAGACTTGACATACTTCATCATATAGTGATTGATGTGAATGGACTAATGCCTCCAATTCAATGACATCATTGGGAATGACTGGAGCACTGGTATCACAAGCCTTCTTCCAAGTCGGCACTAAATTCAAATAATGTTGAGAACAGTGGTAAAAGTTAAAGGCAAGCGCAAGAACGGCTGTCCTTTCATCTAAATTAGAGGCAAATTCTTTCCAAATTCTATCCAAACGACCAGAAATTTGTTGAATAAGTTGTGATGAGTAGTGTCCGGCTTCGACCATACGAGTGGCCACTTGTTGTAGTTTATTGATGTTTACGTATACGTTCATTGAAGTCACACTAAACCTGTTGTGTTCGTCTTGTAATTGTTTACATTCTTCACCATTTCGTCCAATAACTATAGCATTAGACATAAAAATATCACGATTTTGGCGAATCCATTCAAACATCTTGTGGGCGTCACTTTCATAAAGCCTTAATTGTAAACATTGATCATATTTAACACGCTTTAAGTGCCATAATTGTAACAATTGTTGTTTATTAATATGCAAATCTTCTATAATTCTCATCACTTTAGGAACAGCTGCTTGAATATCAGGATTATTGGCTATTGATGGTTGACTACTGTAACCAGAATCTCCACTTATAGAAGCATTAGGAGAATAACTTAGTCTTCGCAATAGGTGTTGTCCGTCTGCGTCTAACTCTTCAACAGGACTTTCATTGATTTGTTGTTTAGTGTTATTGTGTTCTTCAATCATTTTCTTAGCGGTGTTGGCATCGCTAGCAAACTCTTGTTTCATTAGATTCTCTTTAAGAGTATTCATAGCTTTAAGTGAATTCGTGGCCTTCTCTGTGAATGATTCTAAACATAATCTTAAATCAATCCATTGTTTGTGGTCATAGACATAGGTTCCGCCTTCAATATCATTTGTAAGTTGACTCCAATCAACAAATTTTGAGATCGACTCCACTGAAATCATTATCGTCTTAAATATAACAATATAATACAATTTATTAAACTTGTAATCAAATTGTAAACTTAAAATAAATACTTCAAATTTATATTTCGATGATCCTATACTTGTTCGCTGTTTTTGCCAAAAGTTATCCGGTTTTATAATAAGAGTTAAATGAATTTTTGGTGTGAAATACTCGTCCAGACCTTTCAACAATGGCTTAATAGCAGTCCAAGTGCTACCTCTCATATCAATTATAATAGAAAACTCTTTATTTAAGGATTCATCACTGGATGGATAAAATATAAATTATTAGTAACCGATATAAGCAAACAAATTGTATTATATATATAAATAAATATCTGATACCTCGGTATACTCGCTAAGTATACGAGCAATGGTCTCAACTCTTCTGCCGTCAACTTTTCAGGCCGTGTTTTAGAAGGAAATAATAATATTGGACCACCTCTTTGGTCACGACCTCCTTATTGTAATAATTTTTAAATTAAATCATTAATATATATAAAATCAAGGTTTTAATTAGAATAAAATATTATAATGCATTATTTTTCAACATTATATATAGTAATTTAATAATTAAAAAATTTATTAAGCTTATGGTAAGTATATTTTTTAATTAACATCAATATTCAGTAATACAGTATATTAATTCAGTGCTAATATTGAAGCTAATATGTATGACACACATAGAAAATATTTGACAGGAAATTCCCAAATAAACTATATATTCAACAAAATTAGGAAAATATATATTTTCCTTAACGTTAAACACTATTGTAATAATGATTACAGTATTACCAAATTATTGGTAAATACACAATTAATAATTGTCTTTTAAATATCATTTATTTGCTATCAGTTGTGACTAAACTAGTATTAGTGACATAAGATATACACACATGTGTTAGCAATGATTAAACTAAAAAATACATTCCCGAAGAAGTCATATTAAACAACGGATCTATTGTTATCTTTCAAGAGATAATTCCTGTCAAATATTTTTCTAAAATAATACTTTTGTCATTAGTTATCTTAAGTGATGGCAAACCTGATAGGATGGCAATCCTTTGCTCAATAAGTGGAAGAATATCTTTGGCTTTTGGACCCATTTTTATGACATCTAATTAAATAATATATATTTATATCAATTTAAAAATGTTGTCATTAATAGTAAAATTGATTTATTAAATCATAACTCAATAATAATCAATTAAACAATTTAATAATCATAAATAAATTTTTAAAAAATCAATTGATGCAAAAAATTAACAAAAAATAAATAAATAAAACCTTAAATCAAGTAATTGGTCACAAAATTGGTGACAATTTGAGAAAACATAAGATAAATGCAAACCAAATATGAGTGCAATTAATGTAATGTCTTAAACAAGACCTGATCGGTATTTGACCAAATTGTGGTCACTTTCACCACTTGAATAATCGGTGGTCGACTCAGTTGTGCTCATATCGTATCAATTAGTTTGAGTGATCCTTAAGTCAAGACATGAAGACAACAAAGCAATCAGTCATTTGGTGTCACTTTTAAAGCATTTGATTAACACTTGAATCAAAACATTTGTTTTCAATTCAATGTTATATTTATTTGTAATTTTCAGTTAATATTCACTTTCTATGAAAACCTCTTTTAAGCCAAATATAGTTGTCTTATGTTTCTATGGAAACGCAAACAATGTTACAAATGATGTGAATATCAATACTTTTCGGTGCTTTGAATACAATTGAGATTTGATTGAAAGCATTAATAGTTAATGTGTTGACTGTTAAGCGTTTTAATTGTCATTAAGTTTATTAATATTTACTAATTATCTAAAAGTCAAGTAATAATGTCGACCACAACTGTCACCAATCCATCAGCTCTTCTGCCTTTAGGTATGCATTGATTTTAATGATATTTACTCTAAACTGATAGTTAAATAACTGATGGTTTATATTGTTATGTCAAGAGCTGATCGACAAGTGTATCGGTTCTCGCATTCATATCATTATGAAGAACGACAAAGAGATTGTGGGAACACTTCTTGGATTTGATGACTTTGTCAGTGAGTGTCACAGTTGTCATCAATCATATTCATTATAACATCCATTGTCTGAATTTAATTATTTTTCTTATATTTCTATCATTAGATATGGTCTTAGAAGATGTCATTGAATAGTATGTATTGATATTTATTGAAAGTTTTTAATTATTAATTTGTTTATAATATTATTTGAACTTTAAGTGAGAGTACACCAGAAGGACGTCGTGTCACTAAATTGGATCAAATCTTATTGAATGGAAATAACATTACAATGGTTTGTATATATATATATCTAACACTATTTTAATTGACAAAATTGTTTATTATTTGTATACATAACTAATATTAAGTCAATTTATGAAATTGTATTCAATTATCTCTCTAATTGATATTTTTATCTATAATACAAAATCAATAGTATAGTTAATAGGTACTAAAAAAATTGAATATTTTTTAATAAATTTATTTAATATTTAATTATGACATGTAAAATACAAATATTATTTATGTGATGTGTTTATAATATTTACATTTAATTATTTTATGACAATGGATCAGATGGTTCCCGGAGGAGAAATGCCAGACAATTGATTTTCATAAAAAAAATACATTATAAGTATTTGTTGAAAATAACATTAAATATCATTAGTGTAATTATTTTAATAAAATTTGTCATTTGAAACATATATAATAAATGTTTTAAATTTGATAATAAATGCAAATTATGATTACAAGTTGTAATTTACAACAATTTATAGAAATTATTTAACTTATTCATTGACGTTGTGTTTGAATGAAATGTTTATTTGAAATTAAAATTTTTACATAAATTTATAATTAATTGAAACGAAAGGATGGCTTCAAAAGTATTAAAAGAAAAACTTTTATTAAACGGTATTTTTGGTGTTTATAAACAAAAAGGATTTACTATCGATGACTACAAGACATGGATCAGACTAACACATTATCACGGTTTGTAATACAGTATTATAATGTAATGCCATTACTTTGACCACAACTAATAACAATACATTAGAAAGTCAGCTGTTGTCTGATCGCAAGTCATGGTCAGCACCGGGCGTTATACTAGACCTAAACCCCCGATATATGGAGCCGTTTACTAGCGGTGTTATGTGTGTTGGTCTCGGCTATTGGTCAACACGACTCACTCAACTAACTAAATACTGGCCACACGTAAGATATTGTATTATATGTTAAAATAATTTGAATTAATCACTAAAAACCAACTTATTATCCCATATAAGCATATATTAACCATTTATTGTATAGAATTACATATGAATTACAATAAATGCTTTTTTAAATCTTGAAATCGCAACAAAAACTTTATTAACAGTATTTATATGATATTTGAATTAATTAAAAATGCTATTAAATGAGACAATTGGTTACTAATTAATTAAAATTATTTTAACAAAAGTGTTAAATAGTATTATATATCCATAATTAATATTATATATAATGTTTGTCCACTTAAGGAATGGATAGTAAGCGCCAAATTGGGAACCGAAACACAATATTACTGTCCGGATTCAACGATTGTCCAAAAATTAGCTTTCGGTAAATGTCATGTTTAATGTAATTGTTAGGTTATAATCACTAATATATCATAAGTTAAATATAATAATATTATAACTACTTTACCTCTACTCTACTTTGAGTTTACAAAAAACATTACCGTTAAATTTTGTATTTTTTCCCATATCAAAATATGTAAGTCATGGGGAATAATGCGAGTTTTATACCATATTAAAAATATTTTTTTATTTTGAATAATAATTTGCCCCTCTTTTATATATATTGATGATTTCCCACCCCTTGTATTTAGACGTCTCTATTTGTTTTATATTATAACTCCTTAATAATGAAATACAGTGTATATTGTATTTTATAGACAGACTCTCTATAAGTTATTGAATTATACCATAACTTATATTAAAATATTATATGATTATTCAGATCATATAAATGAAAATAATTTATTGGAAACGTTGAAGCAATTTATGGGAACAATTAAACAGTTGAATCCACCACCGATTCCATACTCTGAACCTCTATTAGTAGGCAAAGAAACAAACGAAAGAACCATAAATACAGTGATTATGAAACCAAAGACTAGAATAAAGCAATGTTTTGTCATTTCTTTATTAGACTTCAATCCACCGAATATTAAACTCAAAGTCATAAGCGATGGATATTTTTCGTGTCGACAATTTATTCACGATTTAGGTCTTCAGCTCAATAGCTGTGCCCATCTGACTGATCTATGTCTTAACCAAATGGGAATCATTACAGTTGATGATTGTCTTAAAAAATATGAAATTCATTTAAAACAAATGGAAGAAGCGATAGACAAATATTCTAAAATTTTATCTAAAGATCTGAAAAAATTTACTCAATTAAAGCCCGATAATCGAAGATTTATCTAATTATTGATTATTATTAATAATAAGTATAGATAAGTGTTTATTAATTTAATTATCCGTAATTAATATTATAATAATTTTATTACGTAATTTCAATAAATATAGTAATCTTGTTATATTAATTTAATTTTACTAATTCATAAAATTGATATTTATTACAAATATACCAAATAATTGAAATATCGGATTAATATATTAATATTAATTTACAGTATCTGAGATAAAATTATATTTATATATTATACCGTACATATAACATAAAATTTAAGGTGAATACGTTTGATTGGAGTCTCCGGGTAATTGGTAACCATAAGGTTGACCCGCATAAGTGGTAGAAAGAGGTACAGTGAACTTATCTGTAGGTAAAGTTGCACTAACTGTAAGAGGAGGCATTCCCGGCAATGTTATCGGTGTTGTGAACGATTGACCGCCATATGAAGGTAAAGAACTGGTATCACTATTTGAAACTGCACTATATGTCGGTTGATTGAATCCATAGGAACCAGTGCTTTGTGGCGCATATGCGGTACTTTGGGTTACATAAGAATTGGTATTCTGAGGCGTGTAGTTCTGAGTCATTGGTAATGTCGCCGGTAATGGATAGGAAGATCTTGATGTAGTAGTTGTTGATGTTGTTAATTGACTCTGTGTTATATATTGATCACCTCCTTGTCCTAGACTAACATTAGCTAAACTGGATGTTAATGAAGAAACATATTCTGGATGTGATGGGATTGAAGAAATACTAGCGTTATATACTTCTTGTTGGTGTTTGTGATCATAGACCACAACAGGTGTAGTGGAAACAACTGGTGAATATTGTTGTGATAATTGTGGAGTCGGTGGCGGTTGCGGTTGAAGTTCGTATTGTTTTTTCTCTGAATGTTGTTTCGCCAGTGTTTCAGAGTTTTGTATTGAAACATATGATACTTCTTGAGTTGCCGATTGAAAGGTCTTAATTGGTAAATCTGGATTATAAGGAATTCTATGAAGATATCCATAGCCAATACCACAACCCAGACTACCCTCTCCGCCCCAATTGCTAACAAATAAATATTTCAAATTAAAAATATTTTCAAACAAAATATAATGAAACCAAACCTATTGGGAACAATAGTGACGTCACGACAGGAATCGATGGTTAAATTGTAAACAAATAGCTTAAGAGGCTTTCCCTCATGAGCTTCAATAAGATTAAAAAGATCTTCGCTCTAAATATAATTATATTTAATAATTAAAAATAATAATTAATAAAATAGCAAACGACTCACTTCTTGTAGCACAGAATCAGCGCCAATGATATAATCAGTGTCTGACTTAAGACCCGCGATATGTGCCGGTGAGTTAGGCTCGACGTGCAAAACGTGCCAAACGTGTTCGTTCGCGCCTTCAAATGAACAAAATCTGATGCTTACTCCAAGTAATCCCTGTCCACCCCATTTGGCACTGGGAGTCAACTCAACTTCTCTCACGGTTTGTGTTTTGCTATTATAAACAGTCATTTTGAGAGGTTTATCGATACTGGCCTTAAGGATCTCTTTAAGAGCATCGTTGTCCTGATTCTGAGATATATTATAACAAATAATAAGATAAATAATTATATGACAATACATGCATTGCTTGTCATACAAGTCTTGTGTTTCCAATGGCTATAATGAAGTCGAAGTAAGCCTCGAGTCCGGCCTTATGTCCGGGAGAGTGGTCCTGAACCTACCGGTAATCAAGCAATTATATCATTTCCATCAAATATCATCATTAAATGTATGCCAACCCTTAAAACATGGTATCCTTCAGTACCACCGCCGGGAACTTCAATGCTCTGATTGCCGCCCATTGATCACTAATTGTCACCACTATCTCATCAATTGAATTGTTTGCCAATTCAATTGTCAATTAGTGTCACTGAAGTTCAAGAATTGAATTGATATTCACTAAAATGATGACAATCTGTAAACAATCAATAGTTTTGGACAAATGTATGAGTTGTTTGTGATGTAGTCATCAATTGGTGGTAACGTTGATAACGTGGCACTCGTTGTAGTCATTCATTCAGTCAATCACTACCTCTGTATTGCATTCAATGTAATAGTGAACAGTGTTTTCAATAATACAGTGAATGTGTTGTCAATTACACACATATACTGTGTATTATGTTTTGTCAGATCAATACAACATTAAAGTAATAATAAATGTTTTATAACAATAATACAGTATTATTACGATTCTATCAAATTCTGTTATATTTCAATAATATTTATATTAATTTTAATAACACTTTGTTTTTTCAATTAATTTACTAAATTAACCACAAATACAATAATCATTATTTTTACTTAAATATTTGATGATAATTTAAGGCATATTTCTAAAATCATAAACATCTCAAACAATATGAAGTAATTTGTGATCAAAGTTTTAGTTGGATTACACAAAATATTATCAATTGAATGTTTGATTAAAATATTTTATAGGAAGATAATAATTTTTAAAACTATTTATTTTTATATGTTTGAATAAGTAACAAAAAAACTAACTAAACAAATAAAAAAAAATTCGGTTATCTTTTGTATATAAATAACAATAAATTTTGCAATATGTAAATATGCAACTCATAGAAAAAATTCCCAAAAATATCATTTGAATAATTTGATAAATAAATAAAATTATTTTCTTTAAGCTGATAACCGCTTAAGTTGTCACGTATTGTAAAGTCATTGCATTTAAATAATATATATTCTATATAATAAAATTTAATATTTAAATAAATAAATTTTATTTTTATTTTGTATGTAAAAATTGATGTAATTAAGAAAATATTAAATTACGTAATTTGAAAAAGTCTGTTTCAAAATTTATTAAAATTATTATTATATATTATATTTACATTATTATAATTTAGTATTTATTAATGTATCATAATTTTTTTTTAAAAATGTGTTTAAAAATATTAATTATCTATAGTTTGATATTTATTGCTAAAATTACATCACAATTACTATCGGATGTCATTAAATTAACTAAATCTGTTGATCCTTTAACTAAATCTGTTGGATTAATACCTGATTCAAAATTATCCCTGGTATATATTTTTATTTTATTAAAATATTTTTGACTATTTTATTATGTATATCATATTACACTATACTGTAGTAATATTATTTTGGTAATTTTATAATAACTAATTAATTTTATATTATTTTAATCTATAGCTTAATTTATTAACAAATAATATTCTTGAAACACCTGATGGTAATTTTAATTTATTAAACTATTTAAAAATATAATTTATTTAAAAATTAAACTAAAATGAAACAAATGTACTGTACTTTAGGTGGGACTATATCTGAAGGCGATATTGTAACTTATGGTAAAACAAGAGTTGGTCTCAAACAAGACGGAGACTTATGGCCCGATGCTATCATTCCCTATGTGTTTCACAAATGTTTGTTTTGAAAATTTTAATTTATAATCAAATAATAAACATTTCTTTAAAAAAAAATATCTATTAGTTATACTATTTTTTTATAGCCATTGAAAGTGAAAATAAAAAATTGATAATTGAAGCGATAAAACATTGGGAAGAAAGTACTTGTATTCGCTTCAGACAAAAGAAACCAAAAGATGAATACTTTGTTCGCTTCAGAGCTGATACATCTGGGTTTGGTTTCATCTGATTTTAATTTATTGTATTTATTATATAATTGATGACTATTTGTCTAATTAGATGCTGGTCTGCAATTGGCCGACAATATGATAAAACTGGACCTCAAGACATCAGTTTAGGCAACGGATGTTTTAAAGTATTTTTTAATCAAATAGTTGTTTTAATTTAATTTTTTGAAAACAATTGTTTTTTTTGCAGTTTTATACAGGTATTGACCAATATATAAGCAATACATTAGTGATTTAAATTAACATTTATAATAAATAACTTGAAATACAACAGCTGTTCATGAAATCGGACATACGATAGGCTATAGTCACGAACATTCAAGAAAAGATAGAAATGATTTCATTGAGATTTTATGGGATAACGTAAAGACTGGTATGACTTCACAGTTTGAAATTAAGGTAACAATTATTGTTTTAATTAATATATTACTCAAAACATTTACTATAGATTTTGGATTATAAAGTTTACGAAATTTTTAGTAGACTAGAAATTTTGTTATAATAAATTTATTGTTGAAATTATCATTATAGATTGTAAATTATATTGTAGTATTGATTATATTTTATTATATTTTTTTATTTATATACATAGGAAACACGTAATGAAGGTTTTGAATATGATTACCGATCAATAATGCATTACCCGGCGTGGGTTAGTTATTAATTATTTATTTGTATTTAATTTTATCATTTTTTTATTTAATTGTCTATAATATATAACTTAATTTTAGGCTTTTAGCAAAAAACCGCTAAATAAAAGTGTAATCGTTGCCAAAAATCCATTCGTTCAGTACTTGATTGATGAAGAAAAAGATTCACTTAGTTTTAGAGGTTTTAAACTAATTAATTAAAATTTTTTTAAATGTTGAACATTTCAATTATATAATATTAAATATTAATACATTTATTATTAAAATAAACATTTTAAATTTAGATATTAAACTAACTAATATGCTCTACAAGTGTCATGGTAATACATTATTTAAATTAAAATATAAACAATTAAAAATAATTAGCTTTTTTGTTATATATCAATAGACAAATGTCCTAATATTGGTGTTACTGAGTGCAAAAACAATGGATTTTTAATGTATAAATCTCATAAAAAAACATGTCTTTGTAGATGTCCTCCAGGTATCACATATTTATAAATGTTTTATAAAAATAAAACAACTTATTATGTTATAATATTTAATGTATTTATTTTATAACACTTAGGAATAAATGGAAAAAATTGTGAACTAAATGAAGAAAACAAAATTGATTTATATAAACCAAAATGTGGCGGACATATCACTAAACAAGGTTTATACCAATTATCACATAAAAAATAATGTTTTATATTATACACAGCTATAAAAATCAATGTAAATGTATAATAAAATTTATAAATTTGATGAATTCATTGAAAAATATACTTAATTTGACAAATTTCCGAAATATACTTTAACATTAGAAAATAAACTATAACTGTATGTTTACTATATAAATACTATTGTAATGTATTGTAATATAATGTAAAGTATAATCGGAAATTTGTCAAATTAACTATATTTTTCAATGAATTTATCAAAGTTAATAGATTTTATTATAGATATACATTGGTTTTTATCGGTGTGTAATATTGACTAAAAATCTAAAAATATGTTATATATAATTTTAGGTCAATTTTGGACACCTAATTATCCCAATAGAAAACATCCGTATGAAAGTTGTAGTTATTGGATCCAAGCGCCCGATGAGCACACAGTTGAAGTGACTTTCCATGACTTTAGCTTTAATGAGCCTTACTTTGGAGAAAACAATGAGGCAATTGAAGGTCTGTGTCTACACGAGACCATTGAAATCAGAAATTTAGACAATATTTATGACGGAAACCAATATTGTGGACAACAAATTACACGAAATACTATTATGAATTCAATCGGTAAAGATTTCATTATAATAATCATAGCCGACGACCAAATGATAGGTCGAGGACTTAACGCAAGCATCAGATTCATTAAAAACGATTCAAATGAAGAAATATTACAAATTAGTCCAAAATCAAGGCCACGAAGAGTTAACACAAATAAATTGAAACAAAATGTAAATCAATTAGAAATTTCAGATATAATTGGGATTTAAATCATGAATTAATTATTATACTTTTTATTTGTTTATTATGTTTTTCATATTTATAAAATAATCAAATTATTTATTTATTTAACTGTAAAGTAGAAATCATATGCTTTGGTGAAAATCTAATTGTTATTGAATTTTAAGTTTTATAAAATTTTATTAATAGTGACTAATATTAAATATAATATAATATTTATAAACTAAAAAGTATAATATATTCGCGTTATACACACAAAATGTGGAACATATACAATAAATAACTTACAATAAATAAACTTTTTATAACAATTGATGGCTTAATTTATTAATAGTTAATTGCAAATATACAGTAATTAAATTCTATTATTGGGCACTTTGTAATTGATATATATATATATATTAATATATAATTTTAAGGAAATCTGATATATTTAGAAACCTTATTAGGGATCACATGAATCATACACTTAAACCTATGAGGTATACTATAAAACTTTTTTAGGTTATGTAATATCAGAGGCTAGTATCCAAACAAACCCAGAGAAGGATAAATGTGTTACACAATCTCAAAGGCCCAACACTTTAAAATAAATTTGATTATTCATAGCCTTTGCAGGCTTTTATAGGCCATCAATAAAAGACTTCGCAAAAATAGCAGAACCTTTTACACGGATAACAAAGAAAGTCAGGGATAAACACTTAAATACATAGGTATTACCCCATAGAGTGAGAAAATATTACAATATGTATATAAATTTCATAAAACATAAAATTTAGAGTTGTTTGAAAATAATTATTTTAATTACATTAAACTAAAAATATAAATAAATTATAAATAAAGTTTTACAAAAACTAAAATTAGATAATTATATGAATTTTATAAATAAGAATCCAATTCATATACATATATTCATGTAGTAGTATAGTGTATATTATGTAAATTTATCATTCATACAATATTATAATCTCATTATCCCATAGTATATGATAGTAATTAATATGAAATACAAATTGTTGTGTAATACTTGACTTTTTTTTATCAGACTTATAGTGTATAAGATATTAAATATTAATTGACATTCAGTTACTATTAAAGTACAGTTTGAAAGAAGAAAATTATAATTCATATTCAATTGAATAGAAATGAACTGATATTCAATTATCAATTACATTATATATCCAATTAATACAACTTTTATTTAATGTTCATTAATAATAATTTAATTAAATTAGACAAATGTATAACGTTTACGGGTTCTACTAATAGTAAATATCAACAAAATAAATAGTGAATAAAATGATTTTATTAGTAATCATTATTTAATTACATTTTATTTAACTTTACATTTCAATTATTAATTAGAACTATTATAATATTAATTACTGAAAAATTAATGAATTGATGTTAAATTAATATTATAAACATTATTTAGGTGTCATTAATACAAATAAAATGTTAATTTAAATGTTAATTAGAATACGAATTATAATTATTTCTAATTAAATATCAAATTGTCGAGATGTTAATGACTCAATACATTTGATTACTACATATATTTTATGCTAAACTTATTGTTAATAAAATTTCTATGATTTAAGTGCTAATTTATATGCAAATATAAAATATTTTATATATTTAATTAAATAAAACTAAGTTATATAAGGGCCCAATCGGCAACTATATATATAATTTTATTTAAACAAATTGATATATCATAACATAAACATTTTTATCATATTTTATAGTATATTTTATTTATAATCTAATTTATTCTAATTTTAATATAAATTATTAGAAAAAACTTAAAAATCATAAATGTTTTACAAATGTTAATTAAATTAGTGTTTAATTAAATAAAATATATTATGAGTAATACATAAATTTAGCAAATTTATAAACATTAACACTGTATCTATTAATAACTATACAGTAATTATATTCACATTAACAGTGCTTAAAATTTCATGAATTTATCAATTAATAAAAATTGCAATTTTAAGTAAATATATGTGTGTTTAACAATTGAAGTGCTTATAACTACAAACATTAAATGTAGTACCAAATTATTCGTTATATTAGCACTAATAACTATCAAAGTTTTACTTAAATGTTATTTTATTATTATTAATCCTTTTATTATTTAACCATAAATTACAAACTAACAAAACCATTTAAATTAAGGTCTGTTAGCTTATAGACATTTAAGACAATAACTTTGTTAGTTATTATGTAATAGTAGTACAATTGCTTTGATAACAAATTTCTTACAATAAAAATGAAAATGTTTGGCAATATTAACGTTATTTAGCTTAAAGGCAATCAAATTTCTTTGATAACACAACCAAAAGTATAGATTGATTTTTAAATGATTTTTTGTTTGTTATTACATTATTGAAAATTGAGAGTATTTTTTAATTAAGTTTGTCGAGAGAGTCGACATTTAAATATAATTGTTTGTCTTGAGATGTCTATTAATTTGACACAATATTTAGCAAATTCTTCATAAAATCAAAAAGCCAGCCAACCATAGCTCATAACCATAGATAATACAATACTTTATAACAAATTTAACGATAAAATAGACCTATCATTTGCCTATTTTATATTATTGTAATACTTGTACTGTATTTTAAATTAATATTTTTACATAGATTTACAAATAATAATAGATTATTTATTTAAAATTATAGTTGATAAATTTTAAATGTCGTTTAATTTTAATATAATATTAAGTTTAAAAATTTTATTTTGTCATAAAATTCTGCTTTTTTGTAATTTTTAATTACTATTTATAAATATAATAAATTCATTCACAAATACGTCAAATAAACAACTTCACAAAAATAGTTTTATCATGATAGTTTGTTATATTACAGATAATTTATGATTATTTTTTGGCAAATAATATAAATCTGGGACAACATTTAATTATTGTGTTCAAATAATTATTGAATTTTAGAATAAAAAATAATAAAATTATTTTTAAAAGGAATGTTAATATTGTTGATTAAAAATTTGACTAAAATTAATTAAAAAAATACCTATTTAAACTAACTTTACTTACATTAATAACTTAACGTTTAAATAAGATTAGTAACATAATAGCACAGAAAACAAGTTTACATAGTTTCTGAGTATTTAATCTCAATCATCTATTTAAAGTATTTTCAATAATAATACTTTATATTATTTTTATTATTGTTGACACTTTTAATGAATGAGTTTAATTATAATTTATAAATGCTCAATAGCTATATAAGCTTTGATAAAATTAAAATATTTAAACATAACTATTAAAATAAGAAATGTATCACTGTTATTTGGATATTTATATTAAAATTTGAGATATTTGAATATTTAATACCTACGGTGCCTTTAAATCACATTTTTGATGCAATCGATTAAATTATATCAAAATATATTTATCTTAACTATACTGTAGTTAAAGATTTGCATCTATGGATGACTTTGCTAACAAATAAAAATATCAATATTTAAATACAATATAAAATAAAATTAATTATAATAGTAGATACCTTTAGAAAGCATAAAATAACCAATGGTTGGTTAAATGTAACTCTTGAAATTTAGTGGAGAATTACGTAAAAATATAACAATTTTTATTTTATTACAAATTAACTATAATATTATTAATGTTAATAAAGATTTCAACTGAATCTTTATAAATTAAATTCGGATTTCATTATATTTATTAAAAACAACCATTTGGTGGATGACATACCAAATATTGATTACAATTGCTTACACCAGACTTTATGAATGTTTTTATCGGATTTCACTACATAAGAGGCACTAATAAATTGAAATCAGTTGAAAGTCTCTTCAAAAAAATCATATCAATTGACAAATGATAGCAACGACTACTATATTCGTTGAAATCAATAATTGAAGGCTTCTTTGAGTTATAGAACTACTTGAATGTGAATTAGTGGGACAAGGATTTGCTGTTTCGGTTGCTATAAATAAAAGTAAAACTAAAACTAGTAATTATTTAGTAAAATAAATTAAAAGTTTATTAATTACGGGTGTCTTTCATGAGTTGAGGCAAATATTTGAGCCAAAAGGCACACTGCTTTGTTCGCGGGCCCCGACCTATCTCTGTACTGTTCAATGATAATGTCAAATATTCTTTACCATATGCCGTATGTAAAGGCCAGTATGTTTGAGACCACTGACCATCAATTGATGTGCTTGGATTGCTAAACAATTTGACAAATATGTTTAAAATGACAAATATATTATAGTTTATTTACCCTGTTTTAGCAAAGTTGGCCCAATAGGTCATTATTCGTTGACTGAGCCGCTTCTCCTCCGGTGTAAAGTCTAGTCTTGGATTGAGTGGCTCTCCAAAGACAAAACTGATTTCTTCTCCATGTATTGTTCCCATCCATTTAGGCCATGGATTTTGAGATGAACGGTGTGTATAATAATACATATAAACATCATTACCGGCGGCGGAATAGCGATTGGCTAATTCATTGACATGACACGTGAAGTGATAGTCACCAACCATTTTGTCGATGGCATCTCTATTCTTGATGGGATCATCCGGATTGAGCCAATCAGTGTATTCAAAAATGATGGCCTCCTGACCCACTTTATTCACGTATGGATTCAATTCTTTTACTGATGTTATAAAGTCTTCTCGTGTAAGATATACATCTTCAACCAATTTGAACAAATCAGTTAAATAATAGATTATAAAATAAGTTCCCTCTTCTGTATTACTTCCCAACAAAAGTTTTGTTTTTTTAAAATCTTTGTTAGCCAAAGATACTTCTGGTAATTCGTCAAGAAATGTACCATCAATTACGGGAACAAATGGAAATTCGACAACTCCTAAGCCTCCGGGTTGATTGCTGACCAGTTCCCAGGGATCAGTATTTCTTAAACAATCAATTACTGCATCAATATTTTTGGGATCGTGAGGACATCCAACTGCTTCAGCAAGTCTTAAACCTCTTAATGACATCTCTTTGTGACTGAGAAGACCCCAGGGAACAGTTGGGGCTCCACTTTGAAGAATAGCCTGATTGAATAAATGTCGACTCAATGGAGATATTAAATGAAGTGAAATACTAGTGGCACCGGCACTCTCACCAAACAGAGTAATATTATCGGGATTTCCTCCAAAATGTTGTATATTATCTTTAACCCATTGAAGTGCCATAATTTGGTCAAATATTCCTGCATTTCCCGGAGCTTCAGACCTAGAATTGTCAAAGAATAAGAACCCAAGATTTGCAACTCTATAGTTGATGGACACAACTATGATCTGTTGTTCTGCAGCTAAAACTCTTCCATCATATATATCCAATGAAACGGAACCACTAAAGAAACATCCGCCGTATATCCATACCATAACAGCTGCGTTTTTAGGCCGCGGTCGGGGAACCCATACAGACAAATACAGACAGTCTTCGCTCAATTTGGTGTTTGCATTCCAAATGGTTGTTCCGGCAAAGTCTTCACCAAAAGTGGTGTCATTTAACTGAAAACAAGAATTTGGTCTTTGAGTTGCATTATAAATCTCATTCCACGAGTCTATAGGTTTCGGGTGTTTGAATCGATTTTTTCCGATCGGGGGCTTTGCATAGGGAATGCCCAGAAAGGCATCCACTTTCTTGCCGGTGAACGTGTCAATTGTCATACCTCTGACAACACCTTTATTAGTCTTAACTAAGAGATTGTCATCGTCTCCATTAGCATAATAACCGGTACTTGTCTTAAATGAGAAACTCTTGGTGTGGACCAACTCAACAAAAATCAGTAATAAAATGACATTCATTAATGGTAAACATGAAGACCTGTATTGTACCGATTGCCTCTTCTTTATGTGGCTTTTGTTTAAATCAATTAATTGTAATATCATTTCCTGAATAACAATGCAATTGACTTAAAATACTCTTTTGTATAATTTGTTGCAAAAAAAGTCACTTTTAATTAATAAAAAGTATCGGAAAACATTAAATATTTATCAATTAATATGTCTCCTAAAGGGATCCATTGAAGAAGTACTTCATTTATTTATTTATTTTTTGTAAAACAATCAATTTCTGCATAAAAAATAGTAAATTAGTGTTAATTGATAAAATCAATAAAAATTTTATCAGCATTTAAAAGATATCAAATTTAATTTAAATTTCTATAACAATAAAAAAATAACTTTTAACTTATAACAAATATAACATTATATGTATTGAAAATTATTTAATAAACTAAGAATTTAATGACATGAGAACAAACAGATGCTATACATGTTTAATGTCATCAATATATAGTACAGTATATACAATATATTACTGTAAATTGGATTTTCTATATTATAGACTATAGTCTCGAATGCTTTTAATAATTAATCTTTACTTTTATATAAAATAGTTTCTTTAGCATTGGATCTATTGATTTCTAATAAAATCAACATAAGTAAGCATTTATACAAAATTGCAATGTCTATACTGTATACTAAAGATAACTAAAATAAATATATAATAAAATATAATATAATGAAAAATATTTAAAATTTATGTAATAATTGAATCAAGTTCACGTTTGATAAGACAATTTAAATATATTCATTTTTACTAAAACTTGAGAATATTATATTTATATAACAATTGTGCATTTACATTAAATAAGATTAAAATATAAATAATTAATATATTTTTTTTATTTTTAATAATTTACAAATTTTTCAATAAGAATATTCTAGCTTTTAGTGTATATATATATATGTATTTAGTTAAGTATTTTTTATAAAAACTGTTTGTATGTGTGTGTGGTTTCAATTGTTTATATATCAGTTGCGGTTTGTCTTTGAATTTTAACTAAAAACACTGTATTTAATTTAGCAGTATTTATAGCACTAATACTATAGAATATAGAGTATAAACAATACACTGCAAACTGTGGTCTTAAATATTGATTGATTTCTAAATCTATTGTTTTATAATAAAAAAATAATCCAAGAAATAGATACAGAATTTATATCATAGTAAAGACAACTACTAAAAAATGCAGTTATAGTACAATATATTAATTTTTATGAATCTAATTCATATTATATAATATTAAGCTATTATATGAATAAAGTATTTTGTTTTTAGGAAATATCAATAATATTGATTCACTATAATTGATTTAATTATATAATAATAGCTAATTTACCAAATTAACAGATGTTTGAGATATAATTTATTTCAGAAAGATATATAAAAAACGTTAACAAAAATAAGTTAAGCGTTGGTTATTATCCTAAAAATGTTCACAAACGAGGACTTTATATAATATATATTACTGTATAACTTATATACTGTACAATATTATATACATTATTAAAGAGCATAAATTGTATTCACAAACTACAGACTATTGTGCAAAATAATTGTGTTAAGGCTTAGACTAAATAATATGAAGTAATATTGTTAGCAATAATTTAATACATTTAAGATCAACAATGGCTTTAAGTCACATATACTTAAACGTATTACTTAAGTATTGGTGTATCGATCACTTCAACTTAATATTATTTGACTTACATTTCATTTAATTTATTCAATTATATCTGACATTATATAATAAATAATTTGTTACACAGAAAACGCTTTAAATTTTTAAAAATTATAATTAGATTTTTTAGTTATTCATACAAAATAAAATTATTACTTAGAAACTTGGCAATTTGGATATATTATAATGATTATACTATTTAATCATATAACTTTAATAATACTATATATATATATAAAGAGAAAGTTTAAACTATTTTCGACATAAATTACTGAAAAATATACATTTGATTTATCTCTCATATGATATACTGTATTATATTAACTAAACAATGTCCATAATTTTCAAGATCTCAATTAGGATCCATAAATTAAATTCTATAAATTCTGGAATACTGTAAATTCAATTATATGTAAATTATAAATTCCATTATTAAAAAATATAAGTTATTAGTTAATAAATAATTAACATTTTATTAGTATGTGAGTAAAATATCTATTAATTATATTAATTTGTAATTACTGTACTTTATTAACTGTATTTTAAACTTTATTTTAATGTATCGCTTTAATAATTGACTAAGTATAATCAAGTATTAATCAAATTTATTTTATCTATTTTATTTAACAAATTTAATAATCAACTAATGGTAATTTAACAATAGGCTATAATTAATAGCATTTAATTAACATTTTTAACATTTTGGACAATTCAAGTGTATATATTCTGAAGTTTCATTTGTGATTAGTATTGCATTTATGATTAATGTATATATAGTGTAGTCATATAAAGAGGTAGTTTTATATAAAATCTTATAATAATTAATAAATTTGATTTTTTAATACAATTAATGCTATAGCGTTGTGTGTATTAATTGTCTAAACTATTTCTACATATGTCTCTCTCTCTGTACATTATACTAATAACAATGAAAATTTGATCTCTATTTTGATTGGTTGATGAAATGTTTGTCAATTACCAATTGTCAACAATTCTAATACTTAGTATAAGTCTAAGTCTAATGTATTATTTTTAAACACTTTGGAGATATAATTGTTTGCAATTATTAACTTTAATATCGCATACAATTCAGTTAATAACAACTTTTATTAGTTATATTCAATAAATTAGTAATAACACCGGTCTGTAAGCACTGGATTATGAAATATCTGTAAAACTAAAAATTTTAATAATTAATTATGAAATTTATATTTTACAATATTTGTTGTTTTTATAGTAATAGAATAACTAATCTATTTAAATGTATATATAAGTTATATATATATAAAGTTATAAATAAATAAACACCTGCTTCTATTGCATAATAGGTTTTAATAATATTAGCAAAGATAATAAATGTATCCAAAGTGTTAAGTAATAGGAATTTTATATACAGTATTTAAATTTTAACATTACTAGTGTTAAGTAATAGAAGTTTTCTTAAAAAATAATCGAAAATTTCAAGATTTTTTTCCTAAATATTCACACTATAAAATAATATTATGATAAATATTTTTACTAATTTAAAAAGTGATTATTAAATTGCTTATATTATTATAAAATTTACTAAAAACTTTGAATGCTTTAAATACAATATTTTTGTCAAATTAGTATACAAAAAACAGACATAAGCAATATGTGACAAATTGGTTACAAGTTGTAATTTATAAGCATATTATAATTTAAATTATTATATTATATAAACCAAAATTGTATATAATATTATATTTGATTTAATAATTAAAAAGAATATTTCGTAGTACAGTATAATAAAATTACATCACATTTAATAAGCATAAAATTATTAAAACTTGTATACTATTAAACATAATTGACAAATTACATCCTATATTGTATTTACAACTCTAATAACATTATAACGAAAATTTTATATAATATTTGATATATTAATAGGAAATTTCAATTTAAATATGATTTTAATAAATGATGTAAATTTGCTTTTGTAAACTACAATATAATTAAAGCAATACATCAATAAAAATGAAATAAATATGAAAATTAGATTGACTAACAAATATTATACACATAATATAAGTTTAATATAAAATACTATTCTTAATATTTAATGTTATTAAATAAATAATAAATTGTATTTATTTAATAACTCAGAGTTAAGCAAGAGAATAGGGGGAATACATTTTACCCCCTCTTAAAACAAGATCTTTCGATTTTATCCCAATTGTTTCAAAACAAAATAAAGATAAATGATTTTCAAAATATTTGCATATTTACAAAAATTAAAATTTCACAAAATAATTTTTATTTAATTTTTAAATTATTTGAATTAAATTATTACATAAAAATTAATGTTAATACTGTAATAAAAACTTGAAGAGATAAATAATTATTTTGATAATAATTATAGTAAATTTTGAGAAAATTTTGAAAAATTGCTCTTACAATACAATCAGGGTTGTGAAAGAGAGTAGGAGTAAAACAGTTATTAAGTATTGTTTAAATTTACTTAAATTTTTGCAAAAATTGTCGTTTAAAAATGCAATAAAAATTGTTGGCCCCCACCCTATACCTCAAGATTTTTTAGATTTTTATCATACAATAGAAACCGATACTCCACTCAATATCTACAAAACTTTTTCTAAACTTTTGTTATTTTATTCAACTCCAATACATCCCTAGAATCAAAAACATTGCTAAAGCCTTTTATAAATATAATTAACAAAAATTATAATTAGACACTTTTTTGATAATTAATTGATAAAAATAAAGTTCATATCTAAATTTTAATAATTGTTATTATTTATATGATTTATTGCATCATTTATTACAGTTATATAGTAAATATCTTACATAATAGTTTATAAAATATTAGTTTAAAATAAAATACTGTAAGTTATAAAATGGTTACTAATAGTTATATACAATTAAATAATACTGTAACATAAAATAATACAGTTTAAATTAAATACACGTATAAATGTATTTACTAATATTATAATAAAAATATGCATATTTGCTTAAATGTTATGCATTTGCCAAATGTTTGTTATAACGGAAATTGTCTAAATTAGTTAATAAAAAAGTATTCATTTCATAAAATTCAAAACAAATTTAATTCGTTCCTAATATTATATTTAAATATTAGTGAACTATATTTTTGTAAACAGTAAACATTGTTATTAAAAAATATATTATTATATTTACAATCTATTTAAATTTTTAATAAAAAACACAAATAGTTTGTAAAATAAGCAAAAAGTTATTACTGTAAAAATGATTTTATTTATAAATATATTATAGATTTAGATAGTTATGAATTATGACTTTTGATTAAAAATTTGAATGCAAAATAAATTATCAATACTACAAGTTTTGTGCTTTTATAGCATTGATAACTATTTTTTTTTTTTTGTATATAAACCAAAATATATTAAAATCTTTTAAAGCTATTTCCTTAGAAAAGCAAAATTTTATAAATATATTTTTGGCTAACTGTGCCAAATGGGCCGCTAGTCTGATAACTCTTTTAATAATAGACTACAATGTATTGAAAATTTCAATATACAGTTTATTGAATAAAATAAACTAATATTTTGTTTTTGAATGCAATAAAAAAGATTTTCCCTTTAAATTATTTCTTATCAAATATTAAATCTGAAATATATAATAATACAAATATTTTATTAGAATTGTTGATTATTATCACATTTAATCAAATATTGATTATGAAAACACTTGAAAACTGCAATAATACTGTATTTGCAATCAAATCTAAAATAATTTTATTGTATCAGTATTTGTATATACAGTATATTTATAATTTAAATGCAGTTATATAATTATTATTTTTACATATATATATTTGTGTAATAAACAATTTTATTTATGAACTAAAACTTAAAAATAGAGTATAATGTATTAATATTCACTATTTAAAAATATTATTGAGAAATTCTATATTATTTATAAAATACAAATATTTTGTATATAATAATTTATAATTAAGTAAATATAATTAATTTTGCTCATCTAATAGTTTAATTCTGTAAATATTATTTGTATTCATAATTAATTATAGATAGTATTATATAAACATTCAATAATAAAGTGTTATATAATAATCAATAAATTTATCTGTAAATAATATGTGTAAGTAATCTCAAAATCAATCAAAACATAATATTATATATTTTTATTAAACATATTTTTCATATAATGTTTATTTTAATAGATTTTGCAATTATATAAAATGTTGCAAATTTGCAATTATTGTTTTGTTATAAATGTATTTATAAAAATTTAATTTAAATTAAAAATCTTATTGCAATTTTGCAAAAAATCAATATAAATATCCTTACCATCAAAATTGTTTTCCAAGTGATGAAAATCAAATTTAATTAATATATATTGAGTAAACTGTTTTTAAATATCAAGATTTAATCAACAAAATATAATTAATTATTTAAACTTAAATATTCAAATGCAATGAAAATGATGCTAACTATAGGCATATGCATCAAAACAATATACAAAAATTAAATTAATTGTATATTGAATTTGAAATAAATTTATACAAATGCTTGACATATATGTATGTAATTCTAATATTTTTTGAGTTAATAATCACCAAATAGTGTCATTTGAATACAGTTTTTGAGTGTCAATGAAATGCATTGCAATGACTATAGAGTTATATATAATAAATACACTGATTTGTGACAATTGAGGCAATACTGCGGTCGCATTCACTCTAAAGGATTTGCTGTCAAAGACATTGATCGGCGAAGAAGAGACACAAGAGTAAGAGCCAACTCAACATCACATATGACCACATCATCTCATGCGCACAGTTATCATAGTTATCATAGTTATCATAGTTATCATAGTTATCACAGTTACCACTGTTATCACAAAAAACCTATTATTGATTCACATACACGTCATTCAAAAAGTTTAGAGCTTAGTCTAAACTAAATGCAACATTTTAACAATGACAATGTACTACAAAGTAAAACCAATCTTTAACTTTACAATATCAACAATTAAGTTGGTCACTCTAGTTATTAATTTAATTTTCTCATAAATTTAGTAAATGTTTAAATATTCCATGATTTTAACTTTATTTTTAAAAATGGATAAAAGTTAAAAAAATATTATTTATAGCAAAAAATTGTTTACAAATTTGTGATAAAAATAAATGTTAATTTTATAAATAATAAATTTTCAATAAAATCGATATACTCATTAAGATACAAGTTAAGTGAATTAATAAAAAATATTTTTTATCTTATAAATCATAATATCTTGATGTAAATATATTGTAAGCAATAAGATACTTTACAACTACTATATAAAATAGCAAACAACTTTATTTAAAAAATTAATAAATAAATTATGATAAATTTTGCAGATTTTTTACAAGCATTTCAATTAAATATTTAAATAATCAATATTAACTATATATATATTATAAGTTTAACATTTCTACTTATATTCTGGAGGATTTTATCATTTTTTTTATTAAAGTATTAAATAATTATGGTATCTTACTTTATACAAATATGAAATATCTCTGACTATATTTTATAGTCGATAACTTTTAATAAAAAAAATTACTTAATGACTAAATTTACTATATATTTTATTGTCAGAAATATTTTAATGTTTTTATTTTTAACATAACTCTAAACTTTTTGAATGACCGATATAAGCTTTCATTTCATAAGTTCAATAGCTTTTATATTTATATTAAGTATATCTATAGTATTACCAATAAATTTAAAATTATAATTAAAACTAAAATTATTTATTTATTATAACAACTGTTATCTTAACATATTTAAGAATAATTCAATTTACATTATCATCAAATTATAAAAATTGTTTGTAATTTATTAAAATAATACAATACTTTGTGTATATGATTACAGAATATAATATTAGGAGTGTATAAAAGTGAAAAATTCTTTTAAAAATTAGTAAAAAAATAGAAATGTTTCGATAAGTGTTTAAAAGGCATAGTATATCACATCAATTCATTTTTATGTAATTATTTAGGAGTTGAATGCGAGTTAAAATCTGATGAAAATGAGTTCAAAGAAAATGCAGAAACAGAATCAACCAATGGTTCACTACTTGTATCAACATTGGACAGGTAGTCATCAATTTGAATTGTATTGATTTTAAAACCGGCTTTTTTAAACACATCTTTCCAAAAGGCATTCCTATCTCTGAACGGATGACACCAACTAATAGTAGATCCGTTTGAATCTATTTCTGATTCTTTCTTATTATTTGAAGTCAAGTCAAAAGAATTTTCATTTACTGTGTTTTCAATATTTCGGTTACAAAATTGTGACAAAATCTCAAGCGATGGTGAAGATGGCAATGAAGTGTTTATAACTCTCAATGTTTTAAAACTTAAAGAATTAGAAGAGGAGTCGGAATCGAGTGTAAAACTATCGATATTTTGGTCGCCATTTAGTAATTGTTTGTGAGAACTGATTTCAGTATTAAATTTATTGTCATTTAGTTTATCTTTTGTATCGTTTAATTCGTTAACTAATTTAGAGTCAAACACTATATCATTAGTGTTGTTATCAATTGGTTTCTTTTGGTTTACCGCTAAATGTTTATTAGAATGTCGACCAACTTTTTGATCGATTAGTTCTTTTAAATGATTGATCCGAAGCAGAAGTGGATCAGATATAATATCTGGAGTTTCTTCGAGTGTTAATTCGCGCAAAGAGTTTAATTCGGTATCAATTATCGATATGTTAGGACTATTGTCACCAGAGTCTACATTATTCAATGGATTAGTTAACAAAGTATTCTTATATAACTCAGTCAAAGCTAAAGCAGCTTTATTTGTGGCCATTTTGTAATTTTTGGGAACAGATAAATAAGTTGTCGAATCTGTTAATTCATCGACACTATCGACATCTGAACTGCTTTCGTTTTGCTTATTATCTTCACTATCGGATTGAATTATAACATCTTTTTCATCCATTATCTTCAAAGAACTCGTATTAATGGCAACATTTCGAAACACTTTTTTATTTCTTTGTTCTTTGACTGCCATTCGATGTTTTTTTAATTTTTCATATAATTTAATAGCGATTTCTTGTGGATAGTCCTCCTCAGTGTTAACATTATTTTGTGATTTATTTGCAAAGTCTTCAATAATATTAACGGACTTCAAGGCATTGTTGTCTTCTGAAGAAATAATAAAGTCATTTAAATAACTGTTTGAAAAACTAGAATAAAGAAGTTTGTGTTTAGGTATCAATTTTTTCGGCCAAAACAATCTTTCGGTAGTTTTTTCAATCGATTCCTCTGAATGACTCAATTGTTGTCTCTTTTCAATTACATCTTTAATAACTTTTTCAGACTTTTGTAAACTTTCCAATTGATGCAAAATATCGATATCTTTTTCGTCAATGTTTTGCTTATACAATGAACTCTTCATTAATTGTTTTCTTCTTAAAAGTTGTTTATGTTTTTCGAGTTGTTTTTCATTTTGTTTAGCAATCGTTTCATTCAAGAATGTCTTTAATGAATTGACTGATCTCTTCATAACCATCTCTTGTCGTCTCTTTTCAAACTCTTTCTCTTCGCTCTCATGTTTGGTCACAAGTTGTGCCCATTTGTGAGCCGAACCCCTCTCTGAAGTAATCAGTTTGTATTCATCCTTCAAATGTCTTAATTGTCTATTAATAGCTTCAATCTCTTTATTTTGCGACTCAAGTATCTGTTGATTGCTTTTCTTGACCATCAAATGTCGCCATTTCTTGACACGTCTTTGACTTAAATCGCTAAAGTGTTGTCTCGTCTGTTAGTATATTATTAAAATATAAGATAAACCCAATCAAAGTGATAATTAACTCATACCTTAACCAAACGTTTTGCTGAAGAGATGGTCGACTCAGACATTGTAGTCGTCTTTTAAATGAAAGTAAAAATCAGAGAAAACTCATAACAAATGCAAACAATAAACACTTAAAACAGTCATTCATTCAAATATATTGTAAACAAAGTTAGGCTTTCTTTCAAAACAACACTATTTTTCTGTTATTTCTCTGTATTTATGTTTAATTTACTGTATATTGAAAACAATGATTTGAATTCAATGTTAGTCTCATATTATACTGTATTTAATATTTAATTTAATTAATAGTTTAATCATTAGAATCACTAATCATATAAATGAATTAAAATTTAACCAAAATATCCAATTAAATCAAAATAAATAAATTATTACTTAATATTCAGTTACTTTTAAATCAATGAAATTATTTCAAAATCACATTTGGCTTAAATGTGTATTACGTTATAGACAGCAAAAAAGTATTGTTTTTTATGCAGTTATATGGAATATGTTTGGGTGGGTGGGGGTGGGGGTGGGGATGGGTTTTCAATTTACTAAATAATTTTCTACTGGCTGTCTATAACATAGATTTGTTTCAATTTAACTAATATTTGTAAAATTTAGTTATTACAGTAATTTTATTAATTAATATAATATTTAATAATATGAATTCAATTATAACTTATTATGAAATACAGTACATTATCTACACAATGTATTTTTGAATATTTCTAAACAATAGCAATTTGTTAATATTTTTAATTTTTAATAAAAAGGTGACAAATTATTTAAAACTAAATTTTAATTATAAATATATGATATATAAATTATATATAAATTATTAAACTTATAAATTACTGTATTATATGTGCTTTTATTGTTGTAACGGAAATTGATTGCACACCCGTCCGGACTTTACTCTTTCATTGTCATCCAAATAACTATTTATCTTTTATTTTAAAAAAAATTAGCAAGGCAACCCTAGTTTGTTTAATATAGCAAAATTATTTACAAAATTAAAATAATTTTTTGTGTAAAACTTTGTTTACAATAATATAAAATATAAATATTGTAACACTAAACACAATTAAATACAATATTGTAAAAATATTACAATATATTCAATACTTTAAAGGTTTACGATTTATATATATTTAAAAATTTTATTACAAAATTTATGAATTATTTTAATTTGAAAATATAGCATAATTTTTACATAAAATAATATGATTTATAATAATATTAATAATAATAATAAAATTTATAATATTTAATTTAAAATTAATTAAAGCACACGTACAATACATATAATACATTTACTGTATATATATTTAACAAATATGTCTTATTTTAATATTATTAATAAATATCATGTTATAAATATTTGTACATTAATTATTATGTTGACATTTAAATTTTTGACACAATTTAGTTTTATTTGCATAAATTGTAAGTTTATTTGTATCATTTAAATATATTATTTAATAAAATATTTTATATTTTTGATTTACATTAAATTAAGATTATAGCATAACTTCACAACAAAATGTAATTATTTTTTAAATACAATTAATAAATTGATAAATAAAATAAAAACTTTAATTATGATAAATAAGGTGAACACCGATGCCTTAATAAAACAATTGTTTGGAAAGACATCCGAAGGACACAATAGCTATGCGTTTGTATTAAATCCTGTTTTAGCCGACAAACCACAGCTATCAGAGTCTAACATAGATTCTGATGATTATTATTCACAACAATTGGAGGCACAACTCAAATGGATTAATCATCAAAAACTATCTGATCTTCAAAATTCATCCATTGCTGAGAATACCACCGATGACACACATCTCGAACAATACATACAAAAATTAGAAGACAATGTCAATGTCAAAGAAGAACCAAATCAACAACAATTGAGTGAAAACATTACTTTTCAAAACAATAGCAATTATAGTAATGATAACAAACTTATAAATAAAGACAATAAGTTAGATATAAATAGTGATCAACAAGTTTTGCCAAATAATGCAGATTATAGTCAATTTAATAGTGATATCGATACAAGTCTTATTAAAAAAACTAAAAGCCCAGTCATATCACAATCATTGGCCAAAAGTAATGCCAATTATAGAAATGAATTAATTGAAAATAATAATAACCAACAAAATGCTATCAAAGATAGTAACGAATCTAATATCTATAAATTTAATACAATAAAAAACAATAATTATTTTAAACAAAACAATAATATGGATCAAAGTTTGGTACCAAAACTGAGCAGTCAATGGATACGTATTCCCGGCAAAAATATTGAGCAAAGAGTTATAGAGTTGTCGCCCGACAGCTATGCCGTTCCCAATGGTTTTCATGCCATCGGTTCTAAAGAGTTCTTTGAAAAAGAAGAGGTTATAACTGAACGAATGCAACCAATTATTGCCGAACAAAGGGTTATTGATTTACCGGACAATACTTATGTCGGATAAAATAATTTATTTCTCACAATATTATAGTATTTTAACTAAATTTTTAAATATTTTACTGTCAATAATTGAAAACTTTTATATAGAATTAATAAAATTAAAATAATTTAAAAATTAAAAAATCATTAAATGAGACACACTTTAACAGTTAATAAAAAATAATTTTATTTATCAATAGATCATCTTAAACAAGCAATAGAGACAAAATGTTTTTAATTTTAGTTTTGATAAAATTTTAAATTAAAAATATTTTTATGTGTTAATAGCATAGATTGAATTGTGATTAATAAGTTATTAATTAAGATTTGCGGTTTCACTCAATATTGACTATTTTTTAACAATAGTTATTATATTATATTATTTTCTTTAACTTTAAATAATGTTAAAAGTTTAAGTGTATTTTTGTTAAAATTATAGCTATTTTAAAGTACAGTATTATACAGAAATAGTAAAATAGTAAAATAATAACAATAATAAAATATTTATGAAGTAACTATAGATTAAAAATTTAATTAAAATAAACAAAAAATATTTTATTAAATTAATTATGAAATAGATATAAAAATATCAATAATTTGAGTAATTTATATCATAAAGAAAATCTCTTAAAAGATTTTGCGTCTCTTTATCCAAAACTTGAGAGTAGACACCAAAATGAATCTTATTTAAGATATTAATGACTTTACATTTAAGCGAAAACTCTTGTTGAGACACTTCTTCATTTGATTTTTCGTTCATATTTTTAATATAAGTAATCATTTGTTTTGTCATTTCGATGGTCTTTTTAGTCATTGTTTTGTTGATAATATCGATACCAATAAAAATAGAAATAAAATCAATTAAATCTTCATTTAAAGTCATGTTATTATTATCAGCGAATTTTGAAATAATTGTTCCAAACCACGGACTGTTAGCTAAATGTTGTTGTATTTGTTTATCATTTGTGGATAAATCAGTTACTAATGTATCAAAAATGAAAACAAATTGTTTTAAAGTAATGTGATGTTTAAAGACAGCATTTTGTAGAAAAAACAAAAGTTGTCGCAATTGTTGGTATTTGTCTTCTTTTAAATCGTTGTTCACATCTGTCTCTAAGAAACTCTTGATTTGAAATGAGTCGGACAACAAACGGTAAGCACTTTGACTGATTCGCTTGCAATTTGAATTCAGATAATGAGACACTTTCTTTAAATCAATTTTATAAACTAATTGATGAGTGATATTGTATTTAATTTTGTTTTTAGACAAAACAGACAATAAATACAGTGAATTAAGTTGAAGTTCATTATAAATGCGATCGCTTTCCAAGTGTTTAACTATTAAAATGACAACAATTTGTGAATTGAGTAGTATTTCAGTCAATTTAAGTTCATTTAAATCTAACTGATCAGCACTTGTGAAACACATCGTAAAAAACTTAAATATAGCGTCAATTGTTTTGTCCGGTCTATTAAAGTCTATAAAATTTGTTAATTCGGTAAATAATGCGTCAAATCGAGTATCAATTACTTCAAGTCTAATATTACTAAAATTATTAGAAATCATTTGACACAAAATTTTCAACATTTGAATCACTTTTTGTTCATCTTCTGGATTCAAGTCATCTTCAAAAATAGTTTTAAGTTTATAAATAATTTTGATTATAATTTGAGGCAAATTCTCTAATATTCGGACACAGAATTTATTCCAATCATTACAAATGTCCGACTCATCCATAAACTGTTCAAAATCTTCCAACAATTCTTCAAGAATGGCAAGTATTGATACATTAGTAATAGTATCGCAAATAAGTTGAATCAGTATTTGTATGGCTTTGTCGTTGGAGTGAATCAATTGAAAGAATGATGAGATTATCTGTTTCTTCTCAATTCTCAAGTAATGTTCGGGAATTGATTCAAAAAACTGAATCAATGCGTACTCACAGAAGTTATTGCATTTGAGTTCAATGAACAACCAATTCATTAGATTTATGTGATTCGTGTAATAAAGTGATAAAAAGTTGTTATTTTGTTGTTCGAAGAATTGTCTCAATGAAGCAATACTTTTGCTGTCTATTGGTATCAAAGTCGACAAAAACAGCGCGTGTTTTACAGTTAGTACTGAACTCTCGTTATAACTCAAATCACGTCTCAAATATTGATTCAAAATACGAATAAATTGCAGATTATATAAGTCTTCAATTTGAAAGTCATTCCTTTAAATCAAATAACAATTTATTAGTTAATATTGCCATCAAATTACAAATTAACACTCACTTCGGTTCCAATTTAAAGCTATAATAATTGACTGCAAAGAAGGTTCGATAAAACTTATGTATTGACTCGTTTTGCTCGTAAACTACAAACTTATTTAATCGATTCATTAACTGATCTATAAAATTGAAATATTTTATAAATAAATAAATAAATTAATTGTTAGTATTTAAGTATTTAATAGTTTTATTGTAAATAACATTAACATACCATTCATCTGTTGAAATCCGTGAGCAAAATATTCAATGCATGACTCGTCAAATTGAAAGACTAAATCGTTTCTGTGATCATATTGTTGAATCTTATAGAGTAAATGTGACAAAAACAATACCAAACAACTCTTAAAGTTATGAGTAATGTAAGAGTGTTCACAAAACCATAAAATTTGAACCATTGTTAGTACATATCCTTTGCTGAACAACGAAACAACCATTTTGTTAACTTCTTTGGCATCAAATAAGTTGTTTTGGAAAACACTAATACAACACGAAACAAGTGATTCAAATAATTGCGAATTCATCGATGAATTTTGATCTACAATTAGACGGTCAATACATTCAATTAAAAATGTTTCGATAGTTTGCAAACAAAATGAAAAAAAATCAAAAATTTCTGTTTCTTGGATATCTTTTTCATTAGATTTAGTATCAATTGGTCCCTCAGGTGATGTATCCATCAAATCGATTAAATCTTGTTCATTAAGTACGGGTTTTACTTCTCCGGTTAATAAATGAAATGTTTCTTCATTATCAAGTAAACCATTATCTGCCAATGATTTAACTAAATTGATATACGATTTGATGAGATTAATAGTTGCTGTCGTCCTTTCAATACATATATTGATAAATTCTGTGTCGTCACCACACAATCGTTTAGATATATTGTCTAATACTTTGTTTAGTATTAATTTCATTCGTTTTGTTGGAATCAAGACTGGAACTGTTGAAATGGTAAGAAAATCGGCAATGAATCGAACGACAATCAAATAAAGTTGTGGATCAGATATAAAATATTCCAATAATTCAATTAACGCAAAGAAATCAAACTCTGTAACCAATTGTGTGCCACAGTTCCTAAACATTTTTTAAAATGCCGTAATTATAGGTATTTATAAATGAAAATCTATAAATAATATTAAATATTGACTAACCTTTCAATTAATTGTCTTAAAGCCGTCATTGCATTAATAAAAAGTTTATTGTCTTTACTTTTAGCCGAGAGTTCCAGTGTTTTGATGAGAGCTTTAGCCAGTGATGTAATGTTTGTTAAACTAATTGGTCTACAAATGCTGTCTAGCATTAAGTTAATGCATTCCAATATATTACTAATAATTAACAAAATATTAATATTTGTTTAAATACTTTAAATGATGGCATACTTAGAGAGAAATGAGTCGACCGACGATTGCAATGTTTCGACATATAAGTCCAAACTATCTATAAGAAGAATGTTTGCTAACTTTATCCGTATGTTATCTCTACATAACATCTCACTCATCCAAACATAGGCACTGCCCTTAAGTTCTTCATATTCGCTATTTATGAGAAATCGAAGATATTTATCAATATTAACATTTGATACGAGAGAATCAACGATTGAATCAATAGAAGACAAACACTTCAACAAATTCAATGCATTTATTAAAACCAATTTATCGCTGGATTTCACTTTTTGTGAGTCAAACACATTGAGAACCATTTGAAGTGAAGTTAAGTGAAACTCTTCCTCCAAAGTGAACAATAGATTTGTTTCTATGTTATTATATATTACAATAAATATTTGAAGAATATATCGTTTTAAGCAATCGTCAAACTTATAGAAATCGTGTTGAAGTCGATCCACAAGAAGTTGTACTAAAAATTAATTTACATTTTTAACAATCAGTTATCTATTGTTTAGTTGTAAAAGTATTTTCACCATTTTCTTGGAGTCGATGCGATGATAATTGATTGGTGGGGCCATCGATCAGAAACAGTGATATCAGATCCAACACATACTCATTGATTGCATTGTTTTCTGTTATTAACTAAAAGCGACAAAAAAGTTAAATTTAAAGACATTTTGTTTCTAACTTTTTCCATACATTTTCAATGAGTCTCTCAAGAAGTGAACGATTAATTGAATGGTCATTGAGTTGTGAGACAATCAGTTTAAGACCTGAATATAATAATAAAATGATTTGTAATTTAGTTGTTATTAATCAATGATTGCTTCAGATGTGACAAACAATTGTTGGCAAACATCCGGATTCTTGTATCCAAATTAAACAGAAGACCAGCGAAAGTCAGAATAAATGCAAGTCTTTCGTTGTGATGGAAGTGATTACTTCTAAATGAGTTCATCCAATCGCAGCCATATTTAAGTGATGTGTCCAACAGTTCCAAGAGTTGTCTTCGTGTGAAATCACTTTCATCTGAAGACAACAACTTGTATTGACAACATTTGGCACACAATTTAGTGCCCAAATGTGTTGTGATATACCACTTGTGGTCATGTATTTGACACTCAAGACAAATGTTGACAGAGTGTTGACTCATGAGGAATGTCTATGAATTGGTCCACAACTACAACAAACAACACATCATTTGATCTCAATTTTCATTCGAATCGCAAATCGCTTTGAACTTCGCGTCATTCTATCATATATTCATTTTTAGACCTTTTAGAAGATATGAATGTCTAACAAGTGATGCAATATTTGTATATAAAAAGGAACCAAAAGTTATTTGAAGCCTTTGACTAATTTTAGCGCTAATAATACAACACTTGAAGACAACACTCGAGTTGTGTTCAAATGAATCCAATGACCACTTCTTCAGCCAAATATGGCTTTCCTTTTATTGCATACGATATTCAGGAACAGCTTATGGATGCACTGATTCATGTGTTGGATAATAATAAAGTGGCAATCATTGAGAGCCCCACCGGTACGGGAAAGTCACTGTCCATCATATGTGCTGCTCTTCACTGGATTCAACACAACGAAGATAACCAACTAATAGATTGCACTCAACGGTTGCAAAGTCTTAATGAAGAGATTGACAGACTCGACGCACAAATCAAAGTAAGTGACCATTGGATTCAATTGCAACACTCGAAGACCACACTTTGTCAGCAAAAAGAGACAATCGATAAACAATTAAAAGCGTTTAATATGAAGAAAGAGAGAAATCAGTGTCTTATTGATAAAAGAAATAATTCATTTGTCAAACAAAAAGTTGATTTAATTAACAAATCTGTGACTAAAAAATTAAAAACATCTTCTAATACGACGCAAGACTTAATAAACAGTTTGAGTGACAATGATGTCGAAGATAATCTGATTGTTGATTATAACAGTGACGATGAAGTGGTCGATAATAAGGATAAGACCGATGAAGAAGAGAATTATATTCGACCGAAGATTTATTATTGCAGTCGAACTCATTCACAACTCTCACAATTTATTTCTGAAATCAAAAAGACTATATATTCGCGACAACAAAGACCTGTCCGATCGGTTCCGTTGAGCTCAAGAAGTAATTACTGTATTAATAATAGCGTTTCAAGACTTAGTAATAACAGTTTAATTAACGAGAAATGTATTGAATTACAAAATTCAAATAATAGTCAAATGAAATGCCAATTCTTGAAGAATACTTTAATTAATGAATTTAAAGATGAAGTGTTAGCTGATGTTATGGATATTGAAGACATTACTAAATTAGGTAAAGGAGTTAAAGCCTGTCCTTATTATAGCACACGAATGGCTATTCCTGAGGCAGAATTGGTTATTCTTCCGTATAATATATTACTTCATTCAGCGACCAGAGAGTCATTTGGTATTAATCTTAAAGATAGTGTTGTTATTGTAGACGAAGCACACAATCTTATGGAAACTATTTATAACATTCATAGCATTGATATCAAAGGATCGCATGTTTTAGATTGTTTGACACAACTTAATAGTTATCTAACGAAATATAGGACTCGTTTGAGTGCCAAAAATACAATGTATATCAAACAAATTGTTTTCATTTTAAATCAATTGATTAAACATTTCAAAAAATGTTCACAAAATACTTCACAAAATGTTGACAATAGTGTAAACTTTATGATTAGTGTTGGTATTGAAAACTTGAATTTATATAAAATTCTTGATTACTGCCAAAAGAGTCGAATCGCACGAAAACTTTTTGGTTTTAATGAAAATCACAAGAAATTTATTAAACCAGAAAATACCGATGAAGTTGACAAACAACCTATTAATGGTACTAAAGCTTTCTTGGCTAAGATTAAGGCTAAAGGAAAGTCTATTAATGTTAAAACTATTAATACGAGTAATACGAATGATCAAAACAATGAAGAAATCAAAACTTTTGGATCTCCTCTGTATGTGATTCAAGAGTTTTTAAGAGCATTGATAACAACCAATTCAAATGCAAAGGTTATTACAAATTGTGATAAAGAATCGATTAGAAACTCTAGTCTTAAATATATTATATTAAATCCCTTTACACACCTTAAAGATATCATAAATGAATGTCGATCTGTAGTTCTGTGCGGCGGAACAATGAAACCATTTGAAGAATATATCGACCATTTATTTAAGCCATTAGGTGTTCCGTTGGACCGAATATTTACGTTTTCATGCGGTCACGTCATTCCCGATTCAAATTTAGTAACAATAGCTCTAGGAATGGGACCAAATAATAGACAACTGAACTATACATTTCAAAATAGAAATAACAATGAGTTAATTGAAGAGACAGGAAGAACAGTTGCCAACTTATGTACTGTTATTCCCAATGGTTTGATTTGTTTCTTCCCTTCTTATGACTTCCAAGACCTTTATTACAATGTATGGCAAAAGTTAGGTATTTTGAAGACTATTGAATCTAAAGGAAAGACCTTATTTCGAGAGCCAAAGAAAGCATCTTTTGTGTCAAAAGTTCTCTCAGACTATAACCTGGCTATCATTGGATCCAACAAAAAGGGTGCGCTTCTCATGTGTGTAGTCGGCGGCAAAATGAGTGAAGGCATTAATTTTAGTGATCATTTGGGTCGTGGAGTTATTGTTGTGGGTCTACCCTATGCTAACAAAAATTCAATTGAACTCAAAGAGAAAATCAATTATTTTAATTCATTTAAAGCTAATTCTGGAAACGTAAGAAAATTGAATATTTTTGACTAAACATTAATTTTTATTATAAAATGCAATTTTTTAAGGAATTTTACGAAAATTTGTGTTTGAAAGCCGTTAATCAGTCCATTGGAAGAGCGATTCGCCATAAAAATGATTTCGCAGTTATTGTTCTATTGGACAGTAGATATAGATATAAGGAAAATATAAAACAAGGACTTCCAGATTGGATCAGTTCACGAATCATCTCTTGTGATAACTTTGCAAAAGCATTGTCTTCTGCTAAACAATTCTTTCAAAATAAATGACTACTTAATCACCACAAATAATGTATAGTATTTGTTATATTTTATTAATCAAAAAATATATTTATAAATAAAAGTTTTATTATTTAATTATTTTCTTTAGTCTTCTTTTTACTTAATTTACTGAATATTCGTTTTTTCGTTTCTTTTTGTTTGTTTTCTCTTCCTTTCTGTATTTTATTCATTTCTTTCTTATGTTTGGCCACTCTCTGAGCCATTGCTTGTTTTTCTTTCATCATTTTCTGTCTATGGGCTGCTCTAATCATTTTCATCAGATTATGTGTTTGTTGTTCCTCCCGATCCCTGACAACAGCCACTCGTTTTACTTTATTTTGCTTTTTAGGCAAAAGTTTTGGTTTTGCCTTAAATGGTAGTTCTCGTTGAAGTGACTTCGATATAGTTAATGGTTTAAAGTTAAACTTCTTTCTCTCTATTGGTGTGTAATGAGAATCTCTATTATTGGGCGCTTGTATTCCCGATTCATATCTAAGTTGTCCAACAGTTTTCATTCCCTGCCATTTAAGCTTTTCATTTAGTGGTAATAATAATGAAGTCACGATAGCATAAAACTTAGGCACAGTTACGGTATACCATGTTTTTAGAAATACAATATCACTCATAAGTATTTTATCCTCAAATGTGGCTCTAAAAGCTCCGGGAGGCGCGCGAATAGCTTTCTTAATTTGGCCTCTAATGCCACTGACAGTCCTAAGGGATGCGCCTTCAAATTTGGTCACTTCCAGAGCTGTGTTGAACATGCCTTTAATAAAAGCAGTCTTTTTATATATTTTTAAAGCAGTTCCCAATAATTTAAGTTTTTTAACGATTTGTGAAGACTTATCTATGTCGAGTACAACACCTGTGGCGGCAATTCTGAAATTAGGTATTATATCCGATACCGATTGTACGGCTATAAAGCCTGTATTTTGAGGACTAATTGGACCCCAAAACGAAGCGTAACAATGCATATGTTGTGGAGTGTATTTGAGAAGTCGATTGCGTCCGTTGTCGTCTTGAGTTGAATACAAAGGTTGTGTTTGAAAGCGTCTCCAACCCATTGACATTATAAGCGGGTCTCTAGACTTCAAAATCTTGTCATACCATCGATGCTTCTTAATCCGGACTCTAACGTATCCAATATTAGTTTCACCGCTAAGAAGTCCACCGACAATCAATGGATGGTTGGGATCAAAGTTATCGATCAATTGGTGCGGAATGTTATCGATTTCAAGTCTTAAATACATTCCGGCTCTGAATCCTTCAAATTGAATCCTTTGTTCATCATTCATGTTCTCGAATTCACTTCTATTTAACTGTAATTATAAACATTAAAATCAATAAAATTATATAAATATAAATCTTATTAATAGTTCCGACCCGACTCTGTTCCTGAAGTTTTTCTCGTTGTACTTCAAGAAATGATTTCTCTTCATTTCCATCCTTTTCATCGTATTCTAAGTCAAATCGTTCTTTCGTTTTGCGCTTCTTTTCCATCAATTTTTGCATTTCATTATCCGAATCATTATTCCCATCATTTTTATCCTTTTCATTATTTTCCTCCACATTTCCAAAAAACTTTTCTCCAGTTTCCAAATCTTCAAAATCTCCAAACACTTCGTCATCAGATTTCTCTTCAATTGTCTGATCCGTATCTATGGCTAATAGTTTGGCCGCATCTTCATTGTCGGCCCACTTTCCGGTAACAAAACAATCTTTAATGGTATCAAATACACGATCAGAGTTCCAATTAATAAGTAATTCTTTTGGAAATTTTGTGCATTCAATTGAATTTAGCGTTGCCTTCATTTTATGCATCTCTTCGTGTTTTTTCTCAATCACTTTAAACAAACCGTCAGAAAGTTCTTTGTAATCATTAAAATAGTTATCATCTTTCAAGTCATTAGTGTCGCCGTAAACTAATTTCTGTATATTTTCTGTTCTCTCAAGTCTTGAATAGAAAGCATTTGCAGCTTTAGATGACAAGTCATTCTTCCATTTCGAGACATTTAACTCATCCTCGTCTTCAATCACTTCATCTGAATCACTAATTTCTTCATTAATATCGTCTTCGGAGTCTTCATTTTGTAAATCCATTTGTTGCTCATTTTCACTCTCATTATCTTCATCTGAATAATCATCATTTGCCTCGTCTTCATATTCATCTAAATTAAGTTCGGTATTAAACGTGACTTTCCTTCTGAATCTTTCATTACTAAACACATTTGATGCCAAAGAAGGCACTGTATTACTAAATAATTGAAGTTGAGTTGAAGCCATTTTTTCATCAATGGTTTGTTTGGAGGAAATGATAGAAGAGACCATTTCATCGTCATGTTCTTTGTGTTCATCTGTTTTATCTTTATGCGAATGACTTCCGCCTAAGTCTATATAAATGGCGTCCTTATCATAGACCAAACCGCCGACACCAGACATCGGCGCATATATAAGACGTTCTTTTTCATTGAGTGATCTTCGCTTCTCTTTGTCGGGTAGAGGACATGGATCAGATAAAAATGATATATCTTTTATTGTAAAATCCCCGCAACCAGGTATGTGAATGTCATTATTCCTCTTAAAATTACTTCCTCGAGAATAACCAAAAAGACAGACTTTTCGATTGCATTTAGGATTTTGACGAATCAATTCTTGATTAGTTATGTCTTCAATTCTGTCAACAATTAAATATGGATGACTTGTAATCCACTGCAACGGACGGAATTTGATGACTGATATAAATCGACATAAATTGTGAATTTCATTCTTAAGATAGTGTCCACCGATAAGTCCAGACAAATAGAAGAGTTTAGCTCCGGAATAGATTTCAGTCCAAAAACGATGTTTCAAAATCTTCTTTGTTTTGCGCAATGATTTCGGATTTTTAAAAACATCCAAATGAGTCAATACACCCATAATTCTTGGAAATCCATGCGATTGACAGATATTTAAGAACTCAAAGGTCTCCATCTCGAAGCCAAAGCTGGCGTCAACCATAAGTAACACCAAATCCGCTACTTTTGCCACATCTATCATACAATTAATATCATTATTGCACTCAATAAGAGTCAATCGGCGTTTCTTTCCGGCCACACAAGTGATGGGACCAACCATTTGAGACAATTTACTTCGGCTCAGATTCTTCAGTATCGATGAAATTAATGTCGATTTACCCACTTTTTGTGGACCAACTACTGCCACAACAAATGGTGGCGGTTCTAGTGGTGTCCTATCAACGGTTGGCAACTGTTCCCTCTTTGCTGTCAAGTCTTGTTTACGTCTGAACTGTCTCTCGGCCTTAACGGCAGATTTGATGGCAAAAGCCTTACTATTCTTCTTCTGACTATTTGTGACATTTGTGTCACTATTATTGGCATTATTTGCATTCAACTTCTTTTTGTCTGCTTTTCTGCCACTTTGTCTTTTCTGATGACTCTTATGTTTGTCTTCTTTATCCATATTTTCATTGATAATCACATGTCATAAGTGGTACACATGTTATAGTGATTTCAAAAATATTAAAATACATTAAATGTTTGAAAACATGCCTTAAATGCAATACATCTCTTGTAATGACATCTATTGGATCAACAATTGACTCAAAACCAGAATATATTCAGTAATATTCACATTAAGTACAGTATATAATAACTAGTGTCTTGATTTCCAACTAAAAAAATTATTTTGTCGGTTTAACGCTTATAACTGGGACTTAGTATGTCCACCTAACTTGACCAGTGGACGCTATTTCCGAAATTTTATTATAACTATAAATAACTATTTGTTAGGTTAGCAACTATAAAAACTTATAAATAACTATTTCAGTTATTTTGAAAAATATAAGCATAAAATTGTAAAATATTGCACAAATATATGTAAAAACAAAAAGTAATAGTTATATAAATTAACTTTTTTAACAATAGAAATAATTAGTTTATTTATATAAATCATTTTTATAAATATGCTGAAAACAAGTGAATTATATATCAGTTGAAATATTTATAAGAAAATAAATAACTATTTCAATAACTATTTGGCTTTTTTGGCAACTATATACTACTATTTAATACAGTTTAAATAACTATTTTAACAACTATTTGACGTTTTTTAGCAACTATTATAACAACTATTTAATAGAGTATAAAAAATTATTAATCAATACACTAATAATAACTCAACAAAAATACTATTTTATAATATTTTTAAATTATTTAGTAATTAGTATTATATAAATATTAATATTTTTTATAATTACAAAAATTATATAAATTTGTGATTACATTAGTTATGGTGGGTGTGGAGGGTTAGGAAGTGGTGTGTGACGTGAAGGAACTGTATGTGATGACTAGTATCTTATCTTTTTTAAAACTTTTTAAATCATGATTTTAATAGCGTTTAAAACTTCAACAACAAATGGGTTACATATACCGAATCTGATCCCATTTTTGTTGTCAAATACTTTTAATCATAATTTAATAATCAATTGCAATATCTAATCAAAAATATATTTAATAAGTGTTTATATTATTCAAAATATTTAATCAAATGTCTCGCTCTTGTTGTTAGTAATTCCGGCTTTTTTGAGGAAATTGTCAATAACTGAGTCTTCGTTAAAGTCGATTGTCTTGAGATAATTGGCGGCAATTTTATAGACACTCTTATCTCTGGCAATATTTGCATAACTGATCACTTTGTCCGTCAGTCCGGTTCTAATCAATGCTTTGATGGCATTAGTTCTGAGTCCGTGATTGTTATAGAGCTTAGCGGCGATCAAACAGTTTCCCTGTTGTAGAGCCATATCAGCCAAAGATAACATCACTTGTTGTGTTTGTCCCTTATTTTTGATTACTTTTTCAACTTTATCCACAAGTTTTTCATTGATCTCAATGTTGTGATCACTTATCAGTTGTTCCAACAGAGATGGATCACTATTTTTGTTAAGAAGTAATAAATCAATGACAATATCTATAATTTCTGAATCAGTTTTAAGAGCATCCAATGCTAAGTTAACAATAGATTCATTAATATTGATATCAATATTGTGGTCTAAATTCAATTTTGACATCAGATCTGATAATATATTTCTGAGTTGAGTCCAAGTTCTGGTCTTAAGTGCCATCTCTATAGCCCTGTCTTGTTGTCCACATTTATAATATATCTGAACGATATAATCGTCATTAATTTCACTGAAACCATCGCTATTGGAGTCAATGTATGTATTGACTATATCTTTAGCTTCCTCTTGATTGCCATAAGTTATGGTTAATTTAATCAATTCATTGATCAGATTATTTGTTTTACAAACACGAATGGCATGTTTGATAGCACCAGAAGGCAAATAATAATTGATTGATTCAATTGGATTAATTGATTCTAAATGTCTTCCCAAGTGAAGCATTGCTGCCTCGAGAGTAGGAATTGTCTCTTCACTGTTGGAGTCATTTGTTAATACATTAATTAGATTCTTAGCCTTTTCACTCTCACCGGTATAGCAAAGAAGTCTAACCAAATTATAGTAGTCTTTAGCCTTTTCGTAAGCATTTAATGCATGATTGATATCTCCCTGACTTTCACAGTATTGTCCCCACCATTTGATTAGGTATGCGCTGTCCTTCTCAGTATAATTGCTTTTATCTGAAAGACAATAATCTTTAAGCATAGATCCACCGGTGCTGTCAATTTCAAAGAGCATTCGCGGCACTTCAAAGACATGAGTTCCCGAAAGTTCATAGTATTTAATGGCTTCCTTTATATTAGACTCGTTTTGCTCCAAATGTTTGGCATAATTATAATAAACAGTTTTTTGATTGACTCTATCAACAGATTTTATAGCTTTTTGCCATTCATTTCTATTTTGATAATATTTTGCTAATTTTAACGGATTATTGCATTCTTTGAGTATTTCTTCTGCATCTAAATGAAGACCCAAATTCATGGCCAACAGAGCGCAGGCAACTTCTCGACCACTTTCTTGCAATTCTTGTCTCACATCCCTTACAACTCTTGCATTCTGTAGTTTTGAGATACAATACAAACCCATATCTATGTCTCTACTCTTAACACTAAGTTTTGCCAAATTTTTCCATAATTTATGATTATTTTCTCCGATTTGATTTACTTTTTTAATTAAATGATTTATATCAATATTTTTAGCCATTAAAAAATCTAATAATACAGACACTGTTTCTTCACTTAAACCTTCTAATTCTGGTAACTCTTGTTTAACAATTTCATCGGAACGTAACAAATAAATGATCGGTACTTTCAATGCTATTAACTTAAGATTGATATCAATTTCTATTTGGTTGTAATGTTTGATAACCTGTTCATTAACATTACACAAATAGATATCTATTACATATTGCAGTGATAAACATAACATACTCTGAAAATAAACAAATAAATAGATTGTTAACAAAGTTTTGATAATTCTAATGAATAGTATAATATAGTATAATATAGTATAATATAGTATAATATAGTATAATATAGTATAATATAGTATAATATAGTATAATATAGTATAATATAGTATAATATAGTATAATATAGTATAATATAGTATAATATAGTATAATATAGTATAATATAGTATAATATAGTATAATATAGTATAATATAGTATAATATAGTATAATATAGTATAATATAGTATAATATAGTATAATATAGTATAATATAGTATAATATAGTATAATATAGTATAATATAGTATAATATAGTATAATATAGTATAATATAGTATAATATAGTATAATATAGTATAATATAGTATAATATAGTATAATATAGTATAATATAGTATAATATAGTATATATAGTATAATATAGTATAATATAGTATAATATAGTATAATATAGTATAATATAGTATAATATAGTATAATATAGTATAATATAGTATAATATAGTATAATATAGTATAATATAGTATAATATATATCTAATAATATAAATTATATATAAATTATTAACTGATTCGTTATCGGCCCACAAAAGACCACAAATTTCTTCTTCAGAATTGACATCAATATTATGTTTAATTATTTTATTGTCTGATATAATGGTCAATAAATTGTGGTCAACACAGGCTATCATAGTTCCGTCGCAATTAATTTTAGCGAAAATGATTTTCTTGTAATGGTTGAGACCTGTTGGTCCAGATTTAAGTATTGGTTTGGATGTATTCAGTTTAAAAACATAAAGAAATAACTTTTTATTAACTGATAATATAACCAGAAATGAATCACCATTCAAGTCAAGAGCTATCACTTTAATTTGCATAATAGAGTTATCAGCGTTTACTAACAAATCAATTTGATGACTGTCCTCAGTATTGGTCTCCAAATTATATGAAAGTAAAGAAAACTTTGCGTTTTGTTGATTATTGTCTATAAGACAACTCCAGACAATTTCATTATGAATGACAAACATGTTATCGGTTTCTCTAATATTTGCCGAACAATATGAGTCTATGACATCATTGGAAGCATTTAATCGGTAAAAGTCGACGCGTTTGGATCCGCTTAGCTTAATGGCAAAGATCTTGCCATCACTTCCCATATACATATTTCGCACCGGTATCTCAACTATCAATTCTTGAGTACTGTTTGTATCAATATTTTTTACTTTTACTTGTTTAGACCCATTCTAAGTTTTAGTTAAAAATAATACTAAAATTATATAAATATAAAAATACAATTTTAGATAAATACAAACCTGAATGACAACAATTTGTTTGTTATAAGAGAAACACATGTTTTGTTCGGTAATTAAATAAATATCATTAATAGATGTAATGCAAGCAATTTGTCGATTCTTTGAAATACTTAATTGCTTAACACTTCCCTTGACTTGTATTTGAGAAACTCTATTGAATTCAAGTCCTGAACTCCTTTTCCAAATAATAATGTGATTATTACTGGTTCCGGCAGCCATTAGATTAGTCCAATAGCCCACTGACGTGACACCAGCCCAATGGGATTCGGCCGATTCGGCAACAATAACGGCTGCATTGTTACCGCTTTCCAATTGCCAAAGTCTAACTACCCGTTCACCAGAAAAACAGATAGCAATAAGACCGACCGAGTCATCGATCATCATTGCGGTAATTATATCCGATGTTATATTACGACCAGAGGTACTTAGTTTGACTTTTGAGACCTCATTCACATCGGAACTGGTGGTCGACAAAGAGTACTGACATAAAAGCATAGATTCAGTTATAATAATGAGTCGATTCCTTTTTGAATAATATAACAATTTTTTGACACCACTTTCCAGTGCCACCACATCACTGATAGTTCCGGTCGATTCATTCATCTGATATATTGATCCACTGTTTGAACCGAAATATACAAATTGAATTTGATTTAATTTAACAGATAGTGTATCTGATATTTGATCACTAATTTGATGGTTATGTTTCTCAAGCAAAAGGTTTGACATTTCATCGAATTCCCACATTATTATCTTTCCTGAAATATCAACTGAACCAACAAAAAAAAGTATTATTATTAACTAAATTTAAAAAAATAATTAAATCATAATTTGATAAAAAACCTGTAAAAAGACTGAGACCATCACTAAGCCATTGCATACAAACAACTGTTTTTTGTCTGTTATAAGTCTTTAGATTGGATTCATTCCAAACAGCCTTAGAATTCTTGATGGAATAGACGCCTAGTTCTCCCGATTCCCACGAAACGGCCAGTGAAAGCATATTTGGGTTCCATTGAAAACACGATACTTTCACACCAGACTTGAGAGGAATTAGATCCGACTCTTTCTGAGACAGTTCAATAGGTTGCAACCCATCCTCATTGAGCAATATTATAGTGCCGTCACCTGAATATACAGATATTGCAAGAATTGAACGATCAGTTTGAGACCAACTGACCGACTCTTTCTGTAATGGTTTCAATACTGAATCTTCAATTTTATATTCAATATATGAAGTCATTATAATTAATTTGTAATTATTATTTATTTTAATTACAAATTAATTAATTTATCATTTGTTTATTGATTTAAAATGTTTGCTTATATTTTGAATTGCGGTAATTGTTGCTATGGTTTAGTTACTGTACTAAACAATACAAATAAAGCTAAAAATAATAATATTATTCAATGTTTATTTCGATTAACTTTTGAATATTCTTTTAATGATATTATATTATGAATAAATTGAAAACATTGAATAAAAATTACAATCAAAACCAATAAATTATAAAATTAACTTTATTTATAATTACGGTAATAAATTTACTATATAAATGTATAGAAATACAATATCTTTTATTATATATAACATAAAAATTTATGAAAAAATACTAAAAATTCGTAACAAAATGTAAATATTGATTATTTCTTTTTTAGTCACAATTAGTTGCAATTAATGGACGGAATGTCATATTTAATGATAATAACATTATCTAAATAAATGTGTGTGAATTATAAAATGAAATAATGACTAATAATAAAGTCAAAAATGATGGCATATTATTAAGTGCTCCGGCAGTGCAGTCAACTATAGTCATAGCTTTTAGGAATTCATGTCCTAAATATTGGCGATAATCGCGTCTCCAATAAGGAATAGCTTTTAACTGTACGGTCGAGTCTTGAAATATAAGATCTTTATAGTCATGATGTGATACAAACATCTTAAATGTGAAGTCTTCTGAATATTTGGATCCATAGAACTGTTGCGCATAAATAAAAAGATTAATAAATGCTTCTTTCATAAGAATGTCGTTATATTTATTGTTGACGATTGCATTGGTCGGCACTCGACCCAAATGACAGTTTTTATAGTCTTGATATGTGGCACGAGTTCCGTCGCGACAAAGCAATTCAAAGTCATCGGGAATGACATTTCTGGCCCACCAATCAGGGTTTCGTCCACCAGTGTTCTCCAAAATAGACGTGTGTTTGGTAAATGCTATTTCACCGCCGCCTTCAACTAAACACCGGAGAGCACCGGTGTCACCAAAAAACGGTTCGGATGAGTCTCTGCTACAGAAACGATATGACGCTCCGTGACAGAGATCGCAAAGATTTCCGTAATCCCAAGTGCTATCATAACTATAGAATTCACGGGAAAGAGAGCCAGGAATACAAGATTTCTGAAAAAATTCTGAAGCGGCCCGAACTGAGTCACATCCATACGACCGCATTCGGGAATTAGATAAAAGAAAACTAAGCGGAACCACCCATCCGGCGGCTAAACCAAAACCTGAATGACAAGACTTCTTGCCTTTTAAATAGAGGAGATCAGTATTTTTATCCGATTGTCGAGTTATGGCCACCGAATAATAATAGGTATCATTTAAATTATTTTGTTCCGAAACAATTGGTTCTAAATTAAATTTGTGTCCACCGGTATAGATATCTCCGGCATCCAAAACAGTGAGGTCAGCGTTTCCGTCGTGAATCATTGACATACAGCCAATAGTACTGTGACCTTTGACACACGTCAGCTCCGGCTTTAACATCTGGGCGTGAAATGCAGTCTTCATTCTCTGACATTTTTCCAACTCTTGATCCGATACCACACAGAACCTGGCATTAGGAACGGGACATTTGCGTAACTTTTCAAAATAGTCCAAAATGTTTGTTATGTTGGATCTGTAATCAAATCTAATACGTGCCGGCAATTCATACGATCGAAGATATCCAGCAAATGTTTGTTTACTAATTTCAACGGAATTTAAAGAAGTAGTTTCGTCTGCAAACAAAAGATTCATTGCTCCATATCTTACAGAATCACCAAATAATGGGAATTGTCCGTCACTTCTGAATCTATCATCAAATTGCAATAAATTATATTTTGTTAAATTCTGTTTTGATGTAAAACTTTGATTAAATCGGTTAAATGACGGTCTCATTGATTGTCCTGTTATATAGTCCTTGTTATGCATTAATTGAGCTCCAAATCTATTGACGGATTCAAATAAAAATTTCTGAATTTTATGTCTGTCTTCTGGTAGAGTAGCCGACGATATAACGATGGCGTGAGAGGGAACGTAACCCCAATTGCAGTCTTGATAGGCATTAATGGGTCGACGGCCACCGTTAGGACACAACAATTCGTAATCATTTTTATTGATATTCTTGTAACGCGAAATTTCATTTATAGTGGTATGTTTAAGAAAGGCTACGTCACCGACTCGAGACAAACATTGAAAAGCGCCCTCAAAGTTAGCAAAGATATCATTTCCAGAGCACTTTGATTTGTCTGGATCTGCGGCCGAACATAAAGAACATATGGATAACGGGTTGTTACCAATCGGATTGTTTTTGTCGATCAATGAATTGGGAGCACAGCTGTCACCAAAAAAACTGGCAGCGCTTCGGATGATATTATTGCAGTCACGGATGTCAAACAACTCTTCATCCAACAATCGTGATATAGGTATCACCCAACCAGACAAGTGTCCCACACCAGTAAAACAGGCCTTTTTTCCTCTTAAATCTCTCAGATCTCTTATATAACTCGATGACTGAGTCTTAACGACAGCCACAGAGTAATAGCCCTTTTCTTTGGTCGATCCGTACAACTCATACATAATAGGGACCAAACTGTGGTAACGACCGGCAGTAAATAGCTCTCCCGGATCTAAGACAGTCAAATGTGCGATCAATGACTCAATCCAATTCATACACTGATCCTTATCGGAGGCCATCTTACAGTCCAATTCATATTCAAATGCATTTACCGAAGTTCTGGTCACCGATCGGATAGCTTCCGACCAGTGCTCACATTTACGTTGCTCTTCAACACTAATCGTACAAAATATGAGCCGATTTTTGCGATCAATATTGAGGTCACTTCTAATGCCATGATTTGATTGATTGACCACTTGACTGACCACTATATCCGTCGGTGTATAAAATATTTAACAATAAATTGTTATTAGATTTGCGCCAAAAAAACAAAAAATCTAAACAAAATTTAGTGACAAATACTTACATTTAAGTGATATTAACACAAATAATACAAATTTTGTGTTAAATATGAGATTCATTTGTCATAGAAATCGTTGCTTTTGTTTTGATTTACATTTGATTTAATGATAAAATTAATTTAAATAAAAGTGAATTAAATTAAAATCAAAACAAAAATTTCTAACTAAAGTCACACCCATTCATATGATTACATGTTTTGAGTATTTTTCTATTAATGTTGTATTGTTTGTCAATCATTGAATGCATTTGTTGTGTAACAGTGTATATGTTTGGCATTGTATTGACTGATGACAAGTGAAGTGTAAGTCAAAGTGTGTTCAATACGTGGCCTAACAGTCAGTCATACAGTGTTTTCATTGATTTGAATCTACATTTGGATTACTTTAAGTGATAGTTTGTGTCACAAAATGAAGACACAAGACATTACTTTTCATGCATTTGTGTCATTAATTGTCTTGATTTTTGTAAATCAATCATTTGGTCTCTATTTTCACATCTCTGAAACCGAGAGGAAGTGCTTTATCGAAGAAGTGCCCGACGAGACACTTGTAGTCGGTATGTATACCATAACAGTGGACACACTGACGGATAATCAGTGATTAATGGTTGGATCAAATTATGTGACAATAGGTAACTACAAATGCCAATTGTTTGATCCAAACACCGGTGGATTTATGCCATCGTCACCGGGTATTGGTATGCATGTGGAGATCCGAGACCCAGAAGACAAGGTTATCTTATCAAAGGTGTACTCACATGAGGGCCGCTTCTCATTCACTTCACACACACCGGGAGAGCACGTCATCTGTCTTTACTCCAACTCTTCGCGTTGGTTTAGTGGCGGACAGTTGAGAGTACATCTTGACATTCAAGTCGGTGAACACGCCATCGACTATCAAAACATCGCTCAAAAAGAGAAGTTAAGTGAACTTCAGTTACGAGTCAGACAACTGCTGGATCAGGTGGAACAGATCACTAAAGAACAAAACTATCAAAGGGTTTGATTATCATTTAACTTTGACTTTAAATCAAATTTATTACTAATTAATTCATTGCAAATGACTCATCATTTTCTTGTTTTGTCATTCAGTATCGCGAAGAGAGATTCCGACAGACGAGCGAAAGCACAAACTCACGTGTCTTGTGGTGGTCTTTGGGTCAAACAGTCATTTTACTGTCGATGGGTTTCTGGCAAATGAAACATTTGAAGGGCTTCTTTGAGGCCAAAAAATTGGTGTAAAATATTCAATCATTATTAGAATTTTTTGTAAATTATATGTTTCTCAGTAATTATATTTAGATATTATTTAATTTTTGCAAATTTATTATTAAAGACACATTTAAACAAATGATTTGAATAATTGAATTTATTATTCAGTAAAAATAATGATGTGATTGTGTAAATAATAATACAATATATGAAGTGCTTAAATAAGATAATTATTTTGGTTTAGTCTCCTGATCAGTGACTCTCCTAATGAATATTGCATCGGGAGGTATGTCTCGGGTCTCATCATTCTCATAGAGGAATGAGGAAGCAATGGCCAGATATTGTCCGTCGGATGAAAAACAAAGTGATGATATACTTGAAGGATATTTGTGGAACTGACACAAACGCTTTTTATTAAATCCGTCCCAAATATTGACGTAGCCGTCAGACCCTCCCGTCGCAAATGTATTGTATCCGCTGTGAAAACTGATAGCATTGACCGGATATATAACTTCAATGCCACTCGTATTGTCTTTATTTCGATGACATTTAAATGCATATTTTTTTCGTTGAACTTCAGGACTTGGGTCCAGATATTCAACGGCAACTCTGCCTTCAATTGAACTCAAGACATATCCCTGTCTGTTAGGAAAACATCGGATACAACGGGTTTGATATTTAAGACTCGATTCTCTTCTTTGCTGAACATAAGACATATTTCTGAGATCCCAAACCAAAACTCGTCGGCCGGCAGTTCCGACCACAACTTTGTCACCACTAACACCCATTGTATAGACTTTGTCCGGTTGGGCATAAGTACCACTCGCTGACGGCGCTCTCGGATCCCAAAGTTTGACATTTGCATCCCATCCGGCGGTTATCATAACATTAATTTCAGCACTAAATTCAACACAACGTATCGGTGCGTTATGTGATCCCAAAATTGTTTCGGTACCCGAGTTTAGGTCAAACATCTTAACCTGATTATCAAAACCACCGCTCCATACGTGACAAGAGTCCTATTATGACAAATGATAGGATATTTCAATATTAATATATCATATGATATCTAATTGTCGGAGTATTAGTGACCTGAAAGGCGCAGTCAAGGACAGGGGCCGAGTGGTTGTATTTGGTCCGCAATGTATTGGTATTAATATCATGAAGTCTTACGGTTGAGTCCCACGAGGCCGACAACAACAAGTGATTAGAGTGTTGGCCAAACTTTACCGATTGAATGCAATCGTTGGCCACATTGTCTAACTTGAACTCATTGGGAGTCTCAGAGTTTGTAATCAAAGTCATGCCTTCAATATAACTATTGTTTACTAAACACTCAATCAATTGTCACTTAATTGCCAATCAATTCAATTATATTAATATTATAAACAATTAGTTAATTAATTAATTCATTAATTCATTCATTCATTGAATGCTTTATTCATTCAAAAGTATTGACAAAAATCTATTGCATTTCAACCGACAAATTGTACACAAATGACGTCAATTGTCATCAAATTATTGTTTTAGTGTTTATTTGTCAACAATTGACACGTTTTGTCATTAATTATATGATAAGACATAACAATTGATTCAATGTTTATCTCATTTGATCTCAACTATCGATAACAAAGAAGACATCATTTTAATGACTTTTGTCATTTCAGTCGAGTTTTTGCTCAAGACTTGGATCCAATCAATAGATTGTTTTCATATAACTCTAAATGCAATTCAATTTCAAATACAAGCCTTTAATTAATCTTTTGAATCAAACATTTGTTTACTTATTATTAGTCCAAACGTTGGCCACAATAAGCGGTAATTTTGTTTTGTTTTGTAAAAGATATAAATTTTGATATACTTTTGATATTAATTAGAGACAGTTTTGACGACATTGTCGGCCAAAGAGGACATACACTTTGAGATCGTAGAGCCGGAGACACTTCGGTACACATATAGGGCACGAATGGCACAGAACTTTGGCACAACTTTTGTAAGACATAAGTCATATGCGATATCTAATGATTTAATTGTTTGTCTGTTTAGTCGCAGATCTATTCAAACATGAATTTAGTTATCGTTGAGCCAAACGACTCGTGCACTTCATTAGTCAATACACTCGAACTCTTCAATAACATCGGACTCATTGAAAGAGGGTATTGACTGACACTAAGAGATAACTATTTATTTGAATAATAAGACAAAATTATAAATAAATTGTTAATTATATTATCAATTGTTAGCAATTATGTGGAGTTTAATCATAAAATTGATTTAATGTATTTATGTAGCGGCTGTTCATTTTTGGCCAAATGTATTGTCGCCGAAATGAGCGGAATGGTTGGAGTCATCATTTACGACAATAATCACAGCAATGATGATCTTTACATAGAGATGGTCACCGATAATACCACCCGAAATTGTTCAATCCCGGCCGCCTTTTTACTCGGAAAAGATGGTCATATGATTAGGAGAGCATTGGACGCCCACCGATTGAACCGAGCAGTGGTCAACATTCCGGTTAATATAAGTCAAAAGACAGTCAAACTACGACAACCTCCTTGGGTTGTCTGGTAATGACCTTAAGATTGGTCTCAAAACTCTGATATGAATTAATTTTATTCTAATAATTAATATTTATCTACAAATTGTTAATCACTTTTATATAATTTTAAAATAAAGTTATGTTATATATTTTGTTACAAAAGTTGAAATAGTGTTTTCAATTTTCATTTTGATTGAAGCATTTAAAGTTCATCGAGTTTGACATCACCCTTAAGAAGTTGTCTATCGAGCAGATACTCTCCGACACCGTTTTGCATTTGACTTAGTATTGTATGAATTCTTGTCAATTGATTGATTGAAGTCATCTGTTCCTCTAAATACTCGCTTTCAATGAAGTCCATAAGCTATCATTTAATTGTAATAATCAATTATTATTAAAGAAAAGTTGAATTGTAAATAATATTAATTGTTATCATACGTGCGGATCAAGACAAGTATGTTCAGCGATTCCATGGATTTTATGAATATAATCGTTGACATCATTTTCTAATTGAATTGCATCTTCAAGTGCTTGTTTAGGACTGTTCCACGTGCTCTTCACTGGCATCTGATAAGTCAATTGAATTGTAATGAATTTTTCAATTATTTATCAGTTATGTGAATACCTTGACATCTAAAGTGTTGACAATACCACCTCTTTTATTGATATAATCCATTAATTTATGAGCATGGTCCTTTTCCTCGCGGGACTGGTCGGCAAAAAACTTGGCGAACCCTTTTCGGGCCACTTTGTTGTTATCGAAATAAGCCCCCTATAAGTGTATTAATATATTTTTATGCTAAATATGATTACAAATTATCAATCAATAGATACCATATTCATGTAAACCAAACTCGCAAACAATTCTGAGTTTATTTGTGTATTCAGTTCTCGTAAACACTCAGACTTGAGCTCAAATCGATTGGATTTGACGGGCAATTCATTACCTATTTTGCAATGTATTCATAAAACAATCATTTTTTACAATTAAAATTATTATTGTATTTAATGTTAAATTTTTAGTTATAAATAACTAAATAGTTTATAATATTATAGTACTATTTATTACCCATTATTATTATATCATTTTCATATCTACAGTAGTGCTTAACATCTATTCATAATAATTAATCAAATTTTTTTCTATATACTCTAAACCAGTTTAAATTGAATCTCAAACAATGTTTTTTTTGTAATAATTATCATATTAATTATAGTTTATATAAAAAGTTTTATTAATATAAATTTATATCTAAAAATTAATATTAATGCTCCTCAATAAAAGTAAACTTCAACTTGAAATTAATTAATCATATAAATTATAAGATATATAGATTTCATTTATTTCAAATAAATTATTAAAATTTATTTTAAATAACTTACTAATCGTTTTTAAAAAAATAATTTTTATATTGACATTTAATTTATTGATTTAAAACAGACCAACTGAACAATAAATATGTCTATTACTGTAAGTCTTATCACTTTTATATAACTTATTGAAAATTTGTGGATATAAGCAAAAAAAACTCAGCTTTAATTGATAAAACATATATCTATTCAAATTTTTATCGTTAAATCAAATAGCATATAGTTATCATTTATACTTTATTTAAAAAATATATTCAGTATTTATTCTAATAATTATATAAATATTACAAAAGCTACATTATATCAAATTTAATAATATTAACTAGATAAATTTACTTTATTTTTTAGAAATTAAATATTAAATTGGATTTTCTGAACATTTGACAAAATTATCAAAATTTTCAATTATTTTTTAAGCAATACATTATGAAGTTTATATTTCTATTAAAAAAATGAGTTAATAAATAAAAGAAAAACTTTGTAAAATAATATAAAATATTGAAAATTTAATTTAATATATTTTTGTGTATTTAGTATTTAAAAAATTTAGAGAAATACTTACTTTGACTTAAAGCGGTTCCAGAAAAAGACAAATAAATAGCTAAAACAGCTAACAGTCCAAACTTGACAATCATTTTCACAGAAGTCACCAAATTTTCGATCATTCGATGTCTATGAGGTTCTCAAGTATTTTTAAGTATAAGATTTTAAATGCAAACTATAAATGAGTAAAATTTTGAAGATAACTACTAAATGATTGATTTGTTACAAAACTAGCAAAAATCTACTGTAATATTGATATAAATATGATTTGTTTGCGATTAGTATTTAGTTTGACTACATTTTGAACTTTGCTTTTATACTAATGTTAGCCAATTTTATTAAATTAATATAAACAAATTGTTTGCCATTCAATGACTTAAACTTATACAGTTCAGCATATTATACACTGTATTACCGTAATATAAATTATAAAATATATTTGACATAAGATACAGTACATATTATATTTTATATTATATTATTATGTTTTAATTATTTTATTTTAAAATTAATGTAAATATAGTAAAATATTAATCAATTTAACTGATCATTTAATATATTACTTAAATATTATTGACAAACTATGACAAATGACAGTAACCATATAATTAAAAGTTATACAGTAGTAGTAATCATATAATCTTTTAATTATAAATTTATTTTATTTGGAAGTTATTACTGTAAATTACAGAAATGTTATATTGATATTAGAATCATCCAATAATAATTATTGCTAAGCCTAGCATTGCCAGATAAAATGCTGGATATTTTAAATGTTATTTAGATATATTTCCAAAATGGGTATGCCGTCCAAATGGTGTAGTGGGTCAAAGTGGGTCAAAGTGGGTCAAAGTGGGTTAATAATAAATTCATTTATATAATATTCATTAAAAACTGTTTCCAAAGACATTATAAACAGACACTAAAACACAGACAAACATAACAACTAGTGAACAACTATTTGAGGATTTCGTGAATATCACACTAAATCTAAATTAGATGAAAGTTTATCTCCAGATTTAGTTACAAATTACAACAAATCAGTGATTTAACAACAATAGAGAAATTGAAACGTTTTTAATATAGTCGACAAAACAAATTATTTTTAATAAATTCGTAAATATATTTTTTTAAATAAATGGTTACTGATATATATCGTATATACTAGTAATTGATTATATATTTTCAAATAGTCAATAAAACAAAACACTATCGTAAGTACAGTTTATTTACCGTATTTATGTGCAAACTACCCCATATGAAAATGTAAAAATTTTAAAAAATAGCATTTTCATATGGAAAACAAATTCACAATATTATACCTGCGGTAATCTGTCAATATTACCGTAAGGGTAAGTATATCAAGCGTTCCCACAATAAAATAGTTATTTAAAAATCATGTTAAAAGTTTATACCTTTCATGTAATATTCTTTAAAATAATTTAAACTTTAATATAAAAATAATTTTAATAAAAATTAAACATCTTTTAATCATAAATTATACAAAACAATAGAATTGTCATTAAAAAAAATATTCGTATTTTGTTTTAAAAACATTCAATCATATGTGTTATATTGTACTAACATTAAAATAGCTTAATATTAAATTATATGAAATTTTATTATGATATTCAATTTTTATTATTGGTAATAAAATAAAAAACATTTTACAGAAATTAAATTAAAAATCATCGCTAAATATAAATCGGATGATAACTTCCTTTATTCACCTTTTTTCGACAATTGGGACATACTTTTGAAGTGCGAATCACTTGTTGTATACAACTGTAATAAAAAAAACAATTACCGGTATTATAGCAATGTTTCTACGATTACTTCATATGCATTATTACCGATCACAGAATAGATGTCCACATTTTGTGGCCACAAGTTTACGGTCAGTGACACCAAACTATTGGTAATATTTCATTAATAAATTTATAAATAGCCTTAATTTTAATTAAATACCATATAAGACTCATCCAAACAAACGGGACATTTAATACTTCTACGCGATGTACTATTTGATTCAAATTTTAATATTTATTATTAAATTTTAGACATTATAGAGATTTCAAAAGACTATTACTTCAATATCTTGCTTAATATCATCTAATTGTTAAATTCACTCATTTTTTAAATTACTTAATAAGTTAAGTTTAATACTACCATAATATATATTTTTTGGGTAACTATTGACATAATCGATGTAAATAACTTCATAATTTATTTATAAATTTAAACCCCTAATATTTTATGTTAAGTTACAAATAAAACTTGTATTAATATATACAAATAAAATCATATTACCGGTAATTCAATTTAAACTGCTTTCAAACTTTTTTATCAACAATATATTAATATATAATATACAGTACAATATTTACAGTATTGTAATCAAATAAATTACCGGTAGATGTATCGGTAATAGTCATCTAATAGTGAATTGTTTGTTAAATATTTAACAAGAGATATGAGTATATGATATTTGAATAAAATTAATCAAACCTATTGTTTTGAGTGGTAATCTTTAACGGATCAATTTCGACGACATCATCACTTTGCTTAGCAGATGATGATTCAATTGGTTGTGGCTGTGGTTGTGATTGATAGTTATCATTACGTTGTCTTCGTTTTCGTGTAACGTCACGAATAATACACAAGTCTTGGTTTTTGATGACAGAACTGATACACTCGATCTCAGAATCCGATTCATTGTTAACAATACTGTCGTCTTGAGTTAAATCAATACAAACGTTTGCATCTTCTCTTTGATCGCCATTCTCTGTATTTTCATTATTATTGTGATTATCATTAATTTGGTTATTCATGTCATCAACAATCATATGATGTGGTATTGGTCTGGCAGTTGGCATCTCTCTTATTGTAACCTCATTTCCAACGTTTACATCATTGACTGCCAAAACAGATTCATTAGTCTCAGAGTTAAACCCATTATTGGTATGACTTTCAGTATTATTAGTGTTATCTGTATTTTGTGAGAGATTTTCAATGATTTCATTGATGAGTGGCATTGTCTGCAACTCTTGAGTATTGGTGTTGTCATTACTGGAGGAAACAGTAAAACCATTTGCAAGTGAAGTCCGTTGTCTTTTACGGCAATTTCTGTTTGGTCGGCGTTTGGCCGCACTTTTGGTGTCACAATTAGCTCTTCCGTTGTGACCACTCATCTTGTTTTGGTTATCAGACTTTAAATGATTGATTCAAATCATTAGAAAACATTAAACGTTTAATTCATGTAATACTTACTTCATTAGACATATTCATCAATCAATGAAATCAAACTATATATCACTTACCGTAATATCAATCGCAATAACCTATAAAACCTATAAAACCTATCGATATTACCGTTAATTCAATTCAATTCAATCATTTAGTTAACAATTATTTATGGATTAATATTTTTTTTTATTTATTTTACTCAACATTTTTTATATAACTTTTATACATAAATATATTACAAATGAAATTAATACAAAGCATAGAAACAAATAGTACCAAATCTTCATTATGAGTATTACAATCTCAAAATACACTAAACATATTAATATTATACAGTAGAGGTCAGAACCGTAGCATTTTTAGGAAACCAAACCGTTATTATATTATTTGAATGAAATAACAATAATTAAAATTATTTTAAAAATCCAATCGAACTAAAAAAAACTAAAACCAAATCAAATATTTAATGATTATATAATTATTTAGATAATAATTATAATAAAATTTAGTCTAAATCATTAATTTTCAATACTATTATAAATATTTTTTAATTATTATTATTTATGAAATAAACTTTTTTTTTAAATTAAGAACTACTGTATGGTTTAAATTCAATTATTAATATTATATAATTTGTTTTACACATTCATTGTTTAATAAAACGTTAATTTTTTTATCTGTTATTATTAGTAAAATTTGTTAAACAGATATTACTTTATATACCGTAAGTATACTGTAAGTGTAATTATATTATTTATAAATGTTATTAAAAATAAGGCGACTTTAAAATTAAAAATTTATCATGATAATAATAAACTTTAAGCTGCGTTCACACGGACAAAATCTAAGTAGACTTGACTTAAGTTTTGGTGTTCACACATGTACTTACTTGAGTTACCTTGACTTAACTCAAGTACAGTAGTGACCCCTTCTTAAGTAAGTTTACTTCATTAAGTACAGTGTGAACACACGAGACTTATAAACTTAGCCAATCAGTGTTAAGTATAATATGTAAATATTATTACGTTTTAAATGCCTGCTTAGCTGTCTAGCAAAAATATTACATTTAAATTGTTTAATAAATAAAAATTAATTATTTTTGTATAATTTTTATAATTAACATCAAAATTAATAAAATAATTTCAATAATTTGATTAATTTTTATAAAATTAGATAAACTTAAGTGTAGCAATGTGAACACATGTTACTTGAAACTTGACTTGAGTTCAAGTCAAGTCTACTTGGATAAGCATTAGTGTGAACGCAGCTTTAGATTTGATTTAGAGCCTAAAGTATTGTAAAATAAATATACTAAAAACTATAAAATTGATTGAAATGATTTTATTTTAGTAATTTTCAAATACAATAATTAAGTTATATACAGTATATATACATATTTATTAACAACTTATATTACATAATAAAATTTAAAGTAGTTTATTGAATTGCACAACAATTTTGTTAAGTTATATATTTACTGTATGTTATATCTATACCGTACAATCAATATACCGCTAACTGTTATAAAGTATGGTATAATTGAATCAGTTATTATTAAATAACAGTAATATTTATTTAACAATTAATAAATGATTAAATTTTACTTAAATATAAGGCATTGGAAATATTAATAATTCCACCAAAACTTTAAACTGTTTTCTTGTTTAGTCTTTAATAAAGACAAGTCTTCATCTTCACTGTCAGATACGTCGGCAAATCTTCGTTGACCTGAAGTAGTCGACAATAGAGGTAATGTTGGATGAAAACTACAAATATTTAAACACTTTAAGCTATAAAAGGTCACAAACTTCAATAAATACTTCACTTACGCCACACCGTTAGCACAATCATTGTGTGCCTCAAATGAGTTACAAGATTTGAGTATATCATCATTGATATCATCACTTTTGGTGTCATAAATATAGACCATTCCATTATCACTTCCTGTCGCTAAATATTTTGAATCACATGATAAGTCAAAATATACTCTTTGATTAGTATTAACACTACGAGTGATGACAGACAACACTTGACCGACATTTCTAATATCCCAACAAAGTATCTCTGAATCCTATAAATTTTAATACAAAATGTATTATGAAATGTCAATAAAAAAATTACCGGTAATTGTAAATACTTTTCTTCCGCCACTATATAGTCTGTGGCCATCTGCTGAAAACTGGATGTGTGTTAGTCCTCCCTTTTGTCCCATTAATACACATATATTTACAAGACTTGGTTCTTCATAAAGTCCAATACTTTTATCATATGAACCAAAAGCTATAATATTTGGATTCAAAGGATTTACTGCAATACATGATATGATTCCCTTTTGACCCGTTTTGTCCACTTTAAAAATAAACAAAATAAAAATTTTAAACAAATGTTATCATAAAAATATATTTATATAAAACTTACTGTAAGTTTGTTTAGAATCACAGACTCTTCCGGGAGAAGAAGTATCAAAAACTCGGATCCATTTCTCAAAACCCGAATATATTTTAGTTCCGTCAGCACTAAAAGCCACACAATTAGCCGCTATTACTTCATCGGCATAATTGTATGCTCTATACGTACAAACAAGTTGTCCCGTATAGGCGTCCCATAAATGAATTGGATTATCACGACTGGTTGTCATAAGACTTGATTAATAAAATTAGACATATATTAGATAATTAATAAATAATTATAATTTTGATAAAACTCACAGACATGTGGATGGATGGCATGAGTTCATGAGTGGATACCAACAAAAATCATATATGATTTCACTTTCTTTTATCTTAAGCACTGGACTCTAATCTCAAGTAAAGTATATGAAAATTAATATAAAGATCTCAAAGTTAACTAATATATAGGACTAAATATATTGTTTATTAGACATCAGATAATAATAAATATCATTTTGAGTTTAATTATAATGAAAATGTAATGAATGTATTACACTATTTACCAATACTGAGATAAATAGTTTTTAATTAATTAAAACATTCAATATATTAATATTTGCATAATTACTGTATAATCAAAATAAATTATATTTTGATCAATTGATATCAATTGTGTTAACACTTGTCGATCAATTGATTAAAGACATGCAAAGCAATCAAATTCGCCTTTAATTATCACATCATTTGTCAATTTGTTTATAAATAATTTTAACACTTTTTATAAATCAACAAAATTACCATTTCTTCGACGTCTTCGTCTAAAATAATAGGATTTTGACACAAATTTTGTGGTAAATTAAAAAGTCTTAAACAGTGATCATCACTGTTTGTCATAAGACATGAACCATCGGGAGACCATTTGCAACCTTTTAGACAATTGTTTGAATCATTGAATTGATTAAAACATTTGTTGATCAGTTTCGGTGATTTAGTCCAATCATAGTCACACTTATTTTGTCCATCACTGTCATCACTCGTTTGTATAGTTGTTTCATCTAATAATTGATTCAAACGATGTGATGGTTCTTCAATTATATCCTCCATTTGTTTAATATAATGATTAACCTATTGTTTACCTATTGTTTACCTATTGTTAACCCATTGACAACATGTGCTATAAATGTCATATAAATGTGATTATCATATGTTTTGCCACACATTTACACTCAAACCATTCAAACAATGAATCACGTGATTCATTGACTCAACCAATAGGCGAGTGTTGTATGAAAAGTGAGCCAATATTTGAAGCGTTGATTAAGTGATTGATTCGATTGATACGTAATCACTGATTGTGTTTGTTATGATTGGATACCAATTAAGACTAAATGGATAACAATTGGCAACAAATGGAGACCAAAACGTTAAGTCATTTATTTGAAGAACTCATTGAAAATGAGACCAAATTTAATAATAAGAAGATTGCACTCAACACAGGTTTAACCACTTCTTCCACATCAATGATAACCAATTGACTATCAATTTGTTTATTGTCTTTCAGTACGAACTCGTGTCGAGACATATGAACAACAATTGTCTCAATTAAACAATCAATTAAATGATATCAAACGTCATATTGAGTTAAAGCAGATCCAAGTCGTCGACATTACAACTCAAGTAACTTTGATGAACACACAAAATGATTTACTTCAACAACACATCCATACCTTCATCTCAAAGATAGACCAATTAAAGAGACAAATGGTTTGATATTATCTTATCATAAGTTTATAGACATTTGTTATTTTCATAACAGTTATAACTAATTAATTAATTCAAAACATATGATAATTAATAAACTATTTATTCAATTACTACTAAAGGAAAAGTTAAGAACAGATCGAAAGCAAAGAATCCATAATTTGTTAAACAAATCATTGAATTTTTGTCGTCAGTTTGGACCTAATGGTCACAAAAGACAAGAACTAATTGAATGCCAACAAAGAGTTTTACAAATGATTACAATTAAGAATGAATTGAAGACAAAAGTGGATTCATTGTTATCAATTGAAAAACAATTAATAAAACTATAAATTTCAAAATTCAATAAATTAGTGTTTAATTTATCATAATTTAAATTAATATATAATTAAAATAAATAATTATAATATAAAATTAAATTTTACTATAAAATGCAAATCAAATAATAATTATTATTGAATGCAATGCAAGTAAAAGTGAAAAGTTGTACAAATGTATAGAGTTTTATACCGTAGTATTGTATAGACATTATTGATGAGTGAAAGCAAATATATTTGAATAGACGTCATATGATATTAACATATGATTGGATGGTTTGAAATGAGACCGCAGTTTACAATATGTTTGCAACAGATTTCATATTAAAACTATTGTAACAAATGTTTACAAACTGTTGACAACATATCAATTGATTTTATCTGATTGTCGACCATTAGGTGACACACATTACCATCAATACAATGAATTCAATCGATAGGTTGCATCTTAAAGATAATCAATTGTTAACTCAATTAATTCAAAGTCATCTCTCGTTTATAATTGACTTAAACTTTGATATCAATTCAAAAGAGCAAACGATTGGGAAGAAGAGGTCACTTCAGACGCCAAGTGGTAAGTGATGAATATATTTGATAGCTTGGAGTGTAGTGAATGTCTTGAATTCATTGAACAATAGATACTATTTTTGGGTCACCACTAACTCAAGAGGGCATCTGTTGTGTTAATCAATTGATTGAATTCATCACAAATGATAAAAGTAAGTCTTTAGTACTTGAAATGACACAAATGTCTTAATTTGCAATTTGTCTCAAGACATCTTAAATGAAGGCATATTCCGGAAGAGCGGAAGTACTGTAAGACAAATGGAGTTAAAAGAGTTGATATCAATGGGAGTGACGGTTGACTTATATGCCAATCGGTTTACAGTTCACGACTGTTGCAGTGTTTTGAAGAGATTTATTTCAGAACTTCCCGAACCACTAATGACTGAATCAAAGTATCCTTTTTTGAAGAAAATCTCACAATTATGTGATACTATTACTTCTCCTACGAAGACATCGAAGAAATTAACTGCAATTCAATTAATTTTACTTTTATTACCGGCGCCTAATAGACAACTGATCCATGAATTGCTGTCTTTATTTGATAAAGTGATCTCTAATGTTGAACAAAACAAAATGACTTCAATAAGTTTGGCCACAATTTTTGCACCGCATTTGTTTTGTCCGCGAAGTTTCTCAGCCATTGAATTACAGCAACATTTGGATTTATTTACTCAGACATTGATTTTTATGATTGATAATTCAGAATTTGTATGTTTACCACCAAAACAGTTGATTCTTGATGTGGATAAACAACTTGAACTGATTGAAAACAATAAGTCTGAGAGCACAACATCGTTGGCAGCCGTAAACACTGGCCATCAGTTTTGTGTTCAAAACAATAACACTTCTGACGACTTTACGTCAGCTCAAGTATTAACGTATAATAAATAGAAATAACATTTTAAAACTTAATTTGTTTTTTATTGAAAGGTCGCTCAACTTTACGCTTATATCCAAAGTATGCCAAACTCTGGAACTCCAATGAAGAAAAAATGGATCAAACGTTTCAATAGAGAGAATGGAAAGGGAACACCACTTTTGAAACAAAAGAATTTCGACAATTCTAACAAAAAGTTAAAGACATCGATTGGAAGTGTACTCAAAGCTGGACAACAGTTTTTATTTGGCACTAACTCCGACTCAGAAATTGCAAAACAAAAATTAAGTAAAAATCTCTTTACTTCTCCATTAAGTTGTTGTTCTGAGAAGTCATCTCCAACTCCAACCAAACTTAATCATCAAATGTATAATAAGACTGACAATTGTCAACCAAATCCCGAGTCATGTGTCACACCATTAAGTGCTAGCATTGAAAATGCTAACAAAAAAATAAGATTAAGTGTTCGTAAAGTCGGTAATCGGGAACCAATTATTATGTAATATTATTATACATTTGTAATTAGTTTTATTACACAATATTTTATACTATAGTTTTATATACATTTACTTATTTTAATAACTAATGTATTATAAATATTTTATATTACTGTATTTCATATGTTTATAAGAAAACTATAGTGCTTATAGGCATAAAGTATTCAATTTTTTTAGAAATACAATCTTTTTTAATTAAAAAACGATACGTTTTGATAAACATTTTTTAAAAATTTTAATGAAATTAAACAAAATAAATATTTACAAATTGCATGACATTTATAATTAAAAAAATACATAATAATTTATTAGCATTAATAATATAAGTAATTTTTAATGAATGTCAAACTGATCCGTCAGTTTGCGGCAAAATAAAGTCAACTCTACCACTATTTGGTGAAGAGTTTCGATTGTGAAATCGATTATTAAATATAAAACTGTTTGCAATGATTCGCGTCAAACAATTTTTGAATAAAAATCTTGAGATGAGTTCATAAGCGACACTTCGGAAAGATTTGTTTAGTAGTCCGTAGAGAATAGGATTCCAGAATGAGTTACTTATGGCAATCCAAGTGACGACAAACTCGACATTACTCGGGAGGTTGACCTTCCAGACTGACGATATCAGCTCTGTTAGTGTCCACGGAGTCACTGCAATCAAAAAGCCTACAGATATGGAGCCCAGAGTTACTAAAATACGATATGTTTTCTTCTTTTCCTTCACATTAAACTATTATAAAATGTAAAATTTTATGGTAAGTATTATATTTATGATACTAATTATTAAATGTTAATGTTTTAGTGTTATAAACTAATTCTTTTGTAACAATCATTATTTCACATATACTTTAATATACTATTTATTAACATTATTTAATATATCAAATATTTAATATGATTTTAATTGTTCTTTTATAATATAGTTATTTAATGAATTATTTTTACTAAACATTAAAGTATTGAAATCTATGTAAAATAGATATTAGAAAATCTTTTAATAATAATAATTATGGGTTGGAATAACATTTCACTACATATAAGACTTTTTAAAGACATATTTTTTCAATTATGTATAGCTATTAAAATATAATCTGATAACTAATTTAATATAAAAAGTGACAGCATTTAGTTGAATATTTTTATACTCTATTAACACAATTATATTATTTAAATTGTATAATCAAAATGCTATAAATACTAAAATAACTAATTGTAATAATCACTTAAATTAGTGATTATTGTGAATACAATACTGTATTTACTTTGCGAATATTGTCGTATCCCTGGATAGTACTGTAAGCATTTGATGGACATTTTTGTATGTTTTTGATCTGCCGGTGCGCTACTCTTAAGATTTTTATATAGCAGTAGACGAGTGTAAAGGCCGGTGGTATAAAAAATAGTGTCGTCGCTAATATTATTATCAATTTTTTCTCATAAAATGGTTCGCAACTCATTATACCATTTGAATCATAGCTTTTTAAAAATGAAATAAATGTCAAAAATGTTATTTAATAATATAGTAATTAAAAATATAAAATGATTGATCGATTCAATACTAACCGATACTCTGCATTGGGATAAATAAGTATAGCGTATACTGAAAATGACATAAACCAAGACAGCGATACCATTGCATAACAAATCTATTGAGTTATACATTAATAGCAATCAGTAATTAATTGCACATATTTTAAGTTTATTATAAATTACTAATTGATAAACTAATTTAATAACATATCGTTTCTTTCAGTCAAATTTAAATATATTGATTCACTAATTAGCATATAACTAAATTTACATTGCAGCATTTATTATTTTCTAAAATACTATTGATATATAAGTAAATTTTAATGTTGTTACTACTAAACTTTCAAAAATAAAAACAAAATTAAGTTATTTATATGTATCTTTAAAAACATATTTTACAAAAAAAAACATTATTCAATATTTTTATATTTTAATTTATAAAATATTAAATTTACTTTATAATACTTATAAAAACATCAATAAAATTTATTCATTATTTAAATATAAAATATTATGTAAAAATTTATAACATACAGTACAGTATATTAAAACAATAGAGACATTTGAGAATAGTCAACAATAGTTGAAAATGAACAAGACACACATACACATACACATACACATACACATACACATACACATACACATACACATACACATACACATACACATACACATACACATACACATACACATACACATACACATACACATACACATACACATACACATACACATACACATACACATACACATACACATACACATACACATACACATACACATACACATACACATACACATACACATACACATACACATACACATACACATACACATACACATACACATACACATACACATACACATACACATACACACAACGAATTCAGTTAAAAAATCTTTTAAAATTTTATAAAAATATATTATTCTTAAATACTGTACTTTTATTACTATTATTACTAAGAATATTACTAATATTTGTCAATTAATTAAAAGGATAATTATTATAACTATTATAACATAAAATTAATGACAAAGTGTTTTTTGAGAATTTTTTTTATTGAAATGAAAGAAAATAGAAATATTTTATTTACATTTTTTGTAATTAATTTTAGTGTGTTTTGAGCTAAACTGTGTTCAAACTGTAGTCATTTTTGTGAATCTTAATTAATTTGCTAAAAATATGTAAATATAATGTTAAATTAACAGTATATTTACATATTTTTAGCAAATTAATTAAGATTCACAAAAAATGACTACAGTGTTAATCCTAATAAATATATATTATTTGTTAAACAATGTTTTTATTACAATATTGTTGAGTTTTATTAAATTATTTTTATATAATTTAAATTGAGACTACGTGTGAACTAAAACTTAATATACACTAAACATTTTCAGAACAAACTCGGTACTTTTTTATTTATGTTACTTATGTTTTTTGTGTTACATTTGGTAATTATAAAAGATACCATATTGTCATGAGTTGTTTAAAAAAATGCGACATCATTTATGTAATTATATAATAATTTAATAGAGATATAGTTACACAAAAAACATATGTAATATACATAAAAAGGGCCCGAGTTTTCGGTAGATCATAAGGACTGTATATTACCTTTTAAAACTAGAATTATAGTAATTTGATTATAATAAAAGCAATAAAATAAAATAATTATTTACTCTAAATAAAAACTAAATTTATAATAACATTGGAAAATATTATTTGATATAATCTAAATAGTAAAAAATTATTATATCATATTATCGGAATAGTTTTAGTTTGAATTAAAGTTGAAACTATTTATTGTTTAATGTTAAAATTAAAATTTTCAATTATTATTATAATTATTCTATATATTTAGATATTACAATTTATTTAAATGTTAAATATATAAACAGTATATATCAGAGTTAATCAAGATTTTGGATTTTAGGGGGTATAGGTTGAAGTAAAATTTTAAAAATCTCGAAAAATCTTGGGGTAGGGTGTACATTTTATTGCATTTTTAAACGACATTTTTTATAAAAATTTAAAAATCTAGGGAGTCAAAAATAATTTTCAAAATTTCCTAAAATTCATAGTAAATTGGAAGAAATTCCGAGCAAAGTATGAAAATTTTCCCATAAAGTCTTTAAATTTTCAAATTATTTTCATACATTAAGAAAAACTCTAATTTTAATTAAAATTATTGAAAATAAAATATAATTCTGCCATTAAAATGCAAAATTTAAAATAATAAAATTATTAATTTTTACAGTATAATTTATTATAATTTTTTTTAAATATCTTAAAATATCATTCTAATTAAAACATTACTTTTTTGAAATAAATTATTTTAAAGTTTTTCTGATATACATTTTTATTAAAATAATACTATATTTAGATAAAAATTAACTTAATACTAATTATTTTATTTTATCTGTTAATTTTAAACTGACTAATTCTAAAATTTATAGTAATGACAAAAATTAAAATAATTTACAAAAAAAATACATTATTATAGATATATTTATCATTATTTTACTCATTTAAAAATAATATCGTACATGTAACATTATTACTTTATTGAACAATTTATTTTTGTTTTTAATCACATAATTTTAATAAAATTCGGCTTAATTTAATTAATAATAACCCTGATATATATAAATACAAATAAATATATTCTTATAAAAGTATTTCAATATATGTTAAAAATAGAGGAATCACTTATAAATAATAATTATTTATGAAAATAGATGAACAATAATACTGTATTATTAATAATTTATTATACACTATAATTTAATTCACATTTTCATAGTTTTAAATTATTTCTTTTATTTTATGGTTCAATAATTTTAGTGAATGAGGGCTTTCATAAATATGTTTTATACATTTAGAGACAAATAGAAATTTCCAATAAATTCCAATAAGAAAATTTCTACAGACTTCAAAAATTATAATTTACAATATATTCTTGAACTCACATATACAGCATTTATTGTCTATTTATATATTATATATACAGTAAACGCCTATATAATTGAAATTTTGTTATATAATGTATATTAATATAAATTTTAATTTAAAAAACTTAAAATATGTTTTAAATGTAGTAATTTTCAAACTTTTATTAATTATATTAAATTAATAATTATAGTGTAATGAAACTTTCTCGAAAATTTCTTAATGACTAAACTATAGTATATACTGAATATATTCTATCATTTATTATATAAATATTTGGTAATATTTCTACAATATTATAACTACTTATATAATATACACCAATGGACACCACACTAACATAGAGTCTTTAATTGTTTATATCTTGAATGGTATAATAAAATATCACCAAATTTGTCTATAATAAAGAAAATATCCTCAAAAATTTGTCATAAAATTTTTAAAAATATATCTAATACTTCTGAAATTATTAAAAATTTAATTAAATATTACAATATAAATACAAACACTAATTCATGTATTAACCAAATTGACACTAAAGTGGACTCCA